AAACAACTTAGGATGGGAAATAAAGATAAATTCTGGTAAAAATGATGGTCATCTGGAATTGTTGAATGACTTTTGTGTTTACAGTTTCCATAGTCGTGTCTGTAACACGTGTAAGAAAAGCAATAATTCGGAAAGCCAGCTACAAAATACTGTATGGTTCAGTTTGCAAACAAGGAGAGTCCATAACGCTTTCATGGTTCGTACAATCTTGAAAAGGTCTTGAATATTGCTAGTCATCTTGAAAAGTCCTTGAGTCAAGTTTAGATCCTTAAAAAGTACTTGATTTCTTTGTTAGGTCTTGAAAGGTCCTTGAAATTCACAACCTTGTCTATTCCAGACACCTTTTTCTGTAAAATTAGATTGCTTTGCCCGGGAAAATGTGGCTCACTCTCGGTGTAAGAACCTGTAAAACCCACCGGTAATTTAAAACCATGTTTGTGCATGAACAGTATTTTATTTCTGTTTCTTTATTTCAAATGCGACAATGGCATTCCACCCCAAGACGGACACATAGTGCTGGTTTCAAAGGTGTCCGTCTTAGAGAAAGTCTACTGTATTAATAATAGATCATGAATTTGAGAAGATCAATATCTCCTTGCAACTAAGAGAAGAAATTGCCAAATGTTCATTTAAATTAAATATAGGCGTTTTTAACTGGTGCAGGGACGCAATTCACAAATGTGCTTCATTTGTATCAGGTGTTATCTCTCATCTTTTGAGCAGATATGACCTGATCAGATTAGATAGTGGGGCTCAATATAACAGTCTTAAAATTTTTGTCCGAAATTCCTGATTCCTTGCTATCCCCTTATTCAACCTTTATTAAAAAGTTTCTAGTCTTGCAATAGGGGTGCCATCATGCAAGACATCTAGGTAAATAAAATGAAATAAAGTTCATAATGATTTCATAGCAATAATAAAATCTTCTACAAAAGATAAGGGTGGACCATTTGAAAAGTGGGGTGGGGGCGGAAATTATCAACATAAAAATATATATTCTTACGGATTTTGACCAAGAGAGATAAATATGCCCAAGGACGATCTGTGCAGGTAAGACTATTACAGATCAACTTCGAAGTGAATGAGAAGTACAGTTTGGAAATGAAAAAGTGATTTTTTTGAATCTCAACATGACTCGAGTGAATATAATTTTGTCAAGGGACTACCTTAACTGATACAGTCAACCTCGTCCCCAGGGTGGAGGTGGGAGCCCACCTCCAAAGCCAGGGAAAAGCGCCCTGGGTCGAGGTATTGATACAGTTGTAGGCCAGACACTGAAATTGACGAGTTCTAACATTTTACATGTATTATTCACAAATCTTTACTGACCAAACAACTTGGAACCCTTTGGAATGAACGTTATCTTGGGTATTAATACATATTCACAAACCTCTTTGCAGTGAAGATAATGTGCTTTCCACAACACAGACATAAATGAAATTGAACAACCCAGACACTCTTCCTATACAAAAATCCTGCGTATGCGAGCCCCAGTCAGGTGAATATGTTCCAGATCAACTACGAAGTGAACCCGAAGGGAGTGGGGGGGCACTTGGGTATTTTTTGGGTGGGTATGTGCCGCCTGGGACTCCAAATTGGAACCCTGTTCTAAACAAAATTTCCCCTAAAATTGATACCCCGTTCTAGAAATCGGCTAATTTTTTATACCCCCCTCCAGAATTCGCCCTAAAACTGATACCTCGTTCTAGAAATGGGCCAATTTTTATACTCCTTTCTAGAAAGTTTGTAAATTGAAATAGCCCTGTTTTTTTAAATAAAAAGATATTTCTTTATTTGTTCCACTTATCCATCAAATAACTGCTTCTTCATAATCAGCAACAATTTTAAGCAGAAAATAAAGCCGTGATCCACAATATTTCATATCCCGTTCTAGAAAACGCCTCTGAAATAGATTACCCGTTCTAAATCAGGAACTTCAAAATCACGACCCCGTTGGGCGGCACATACCCGTATAGGTAATGTATGGGAGTACCCCCGGGGGAAGTGAATAACACTGAAATTACAGGCCAACTTTTCCGGACTCGGTTTGATCTTTGCTCCTGGCTAGTTGTATATACATCTTTGCTTTACTTTATTCATCGCGTCCAGGGAACCTCAGCTACTTTCTACATGTTTGTAGTCTATTTATGAATCCGATTGACGTATTAAATTCTTGTTATTACTCAGTATAGACGTGACATATGAAACATAAGAAACTTTCACCCACTGAATTGAAAAAAAAATTCGAGCCATCGGGTGAAAAAAAAAGGATTTACACCTTAAATGTACCAACAAAATCTTGTCTCTCTTAAAATCCCCACCCCCCATCACATTTCTAATGGTCCATCACTAAAATGGATAAAAATATCCCGTGCGCTGTGTTCAACCAAATCTGCCAAATATAATGTTAAAAAACGCTCGCGAGGTAGCATGCGCATAACTCCGCGGGTTGCATTTTTCAAAATTTGTAAATGGCGTTGACCTGACGTGATGCTCGTGCTATACTAAAGGCGAAAAAACGAAAAACCGGCAACAACGAAATGGCTTAATTCACACGCACCCTACCCCGGTGAGATATATTTCACCGCGATAGGCATGAAACCAACACGATATAATATGATGATTCATCAGGTGGTGTCAATTTCAGTTTATCACTCCGTGGTGTTTTATCTGCAGTACCTTGCGATGTTTGGGATTGTTCTTCGTGTTTCCTGCATGACGTTTAAGAAATGAACTTTCCTGGGAAGCTAAAAACGTGTTTTATTTCTATCTTCGTGGTGGCTGTTGTCACTGCATTCATTTTGATGTATGCATGCTCCAACAAAGCTTGTCGTCAAAGTGTTTCTGCGATGTCGTTCGTGACATCCTTAAGGACACCAAGCAATGCCCGAGAGGCTTCCAAAACTTCGACAAGCGTCGTAAAAGCGTACCCTTTCGACATTGAAGGAAACGACGTAATAGTCTTTCTACATATACAAAAGACAGGAGGCACGAAATTCGGAAAGCATTTGGTGAAAAACTTGGACATCAAAAGCCCATGTGAATGTATTCCTAAGAGGAAAAAGTGCACTTGTGAGAGACCGAACTCAAAAAATATTTGGCTGTTTTCACGATATTCTTTGGGGTGGCCGTGTGGATTACATGCCGATTGGACCGAACTACAAGCTTGCGTTCCACGATATATGAACAGTCACGAAGGAAAGAAACCAAAGCGAAAATATCTTTACGTAACAATCTTACGCGAGCCCGTATCGCGATTCGTCAGTGAATTTCATTGTTACCAACGCGGTGCAACTTGGAAAAACTCGTTACATACGTGTAATGGACGGGTTCCATCGAAGAAAGAGTTGCCTCCTTGCTACAAAGGACAGAACTGGACTGATGTAACACTGCCTGAATTTTTAGGTTGTTTTTCAAATCTTGCTTTCAATAGGCAAACGCGAATGCTCGCCGATTTGAAACTTGTAGGTTGTTACGATACTAAGGCAATGCCACGCGATCAGAGGGAGAAAATTTTACTTGACAGTGCTAAGAAAAACCTCGAAAGCATGGCTTATTTCGCCCTCGTGGAACACCAAACTGAAAGTCAATATTTATTTGAAAAAACTTTCGGAATGAAATTCCGTCACTCATTCGTACAATTGAGCGTCGAAGAGACTCGTGCCGGTGCTATCACAGTTGACAAACAAAACCTCACTCGAATTCAAGAACTTAACTCATTGGATATCAAACTGTACTCCTTTGCGAAAAAGCTCTTTTTTGAGAGATTGGAGTATTTTAAATCGAAAGGCAGCAGCCAGATCGAAGATTCATATGATTGATCGATCTTACTGCTGCCGGTTGCCTGTTACTGTGGTTGAAGATTATTAATTTGATAAAAATTAATATATGACCGATGGTTCACTTTATTCCCGAATACTATTGAAATATTTACTGTCTTGAAAGGCTCTGCACACCTGCTGAGAAAATTTGAACTAATGCAGATTCATTATATGTTGAGTAGTTACGGTTGTTTTGGTCAAATGATCTTGATAATTCTCTAAATGGTGAAACAGTAAAAGGAACTAGACTTTCGCGTGGCGCGGTTGACCACGTATTAAAAATGGCGGTCCCGTCTCCAGTAGGAGACGTAAGTACTTTCGTGCTAAAGATATCGACACTCAAATAAAGTACATTCTTTTAATGAACTCCTCCCCTCTAAACTACTACAGAATGCAGGGCCACTTGATACCATATCATGAAAATAACCAAAGTGTCCTTGTTACTTATGACTCATTCTTCAAAGCCTTCGGACAAGGTGGACCTGATATTTGATTGGCCCTGTATTCTGTTAATGCTTGTGTTGGCAAAACGTAAGAAATTAAAGCTGCTCGAGGACCAAGTGCCCCGTTTACACTGCTGTGGACAAATTTTTACCTGTGCAACACGTTTACAGAGTACCGGACAAATTCTGTTTCAGATTGCAGTACTGTTTGTTGTTCAAAAACTTGCATGCTTCTGTGGCAGGGGCCAGCAGGCACAGCTAGAGCACAGCCCTATATTGCCTGGATAAATCAATACTATTAGTGATGTGACAGGTCAAAATTAAATTCACTAGAGTTTAAAATTTCCTTATTTATGAACAGAGCTACAGCTGTAGGAGACAAAGGAAATTGAGAGTCAACCTGGGTTAAAAAGATTTAACCTAAATTAATTAATTTTGACCTGTAGCAGTGACGTTTACATATATGTGATGTCTCATCCACTGGTTAATGATTTGTCCAGTGGAACTTTTCAACTACTTGGACAAGGAGCAAGAGATTTATTCTGTTTCCAGAAAACTCGAGATATACCGAAAAAGAGATGGTATTATGTACTACAGAACGTTAGTGCAAACCACTGCAATAAATTAATAAATTCTGCAAATTTTATTTTGACTTATATTGATGATAGCATTACAGCTTTTAATAACATAAGTTCCAAAGTTAACATCTTTTAGCTGTAGTAGACAGTTCTTTGGTTGTCATGTCCCCAAATGTGTTTCCTCTCTGTCCTCCATCACGGCCTCCCCTCCCTCCTTTCCAGCCGCCTCCACCTGGCCCCCCTCTCCCTCCTCTGCCTCTGCTGTCTGACCACCCTGTGAAGGAAAAATGGGAAAATCAAAGCAACTTATTTAGTTTGCAGATACTTCAATAATGATTAAAAATTACTGTTGGATGGAATGCTACCTACCACCTTGGACTTTTCCTCCTCTGCCACCTCGACCACCTAAATAGTGCAAAAAAATATATATATATATATTTTTATTGTATATTTGATAATGATAAGTTATTTATCCTGTTTCAAATTCTCCCATTTAGTTAGAGTAGTAAAAAAGATGGACTACGAGTAGTCCCCATTTTTCCTCAGGGATAGTGGAGTGAATGAAATGCGAGCACACGTGAAAATCACCCCACGCGAGAAAGGCAATACGTGTGGGGTGATTTTCATGCGTGCTCGTGTTTCACTCGTTCCAGTATCCCTGACGAAAAATGGGGACTACTCGTAGTCTACAAAAAAGAAGTATGAGTGGAGGAAGTATTGGCACAGTCGGTTTGTGCCCGGTTTTCCGTGTGGGAGGTCGCAAGATCAATTTCAGGTGTGACCTCAAATCCTTGAACTCTTGAGTTCTTTTTCTTTCCAGCTGGCTTGTAAAAACCCATAAAATAGCTAGAGTGCTGAGAAAGAGAGAGAGAGAGAGGGGGGGGGGGGCAGGAATTCATGAGCACACCATCAGCCTAAGATTGTTACTATTAAAGATGACTATTTCTAGCTACTGGAGTAAAAAATGATTTTTTTCTACCTTTCACAGTCACACACAAAAAGCACCCGTAATGATCACAGGTTTTGTTGAGGATCATGGAGATGTTGAAGAAAACCCACTTCTGTTGTGTAGCAAGTTTTTTTAAATCCATAGTTTATAGAATTTCAAGTGAAGAAAAAATTTATCATTACTCGATTGCCTTTGGTCTCTAGGAGCCTCAGTACGCTTTTTGAAAGCAGGCATTTCTACAGGTGGTGCTGTACTTGACGGCCTTCCTCCTCGATCTGGTACCTTCAAAAACAACCACACGACAAATACAGAACCCACTACAGTTGTTTAAAAAAAATTCTTATTTCTAGTCTGGCAAGTATAAACATGGGTTAAATTTCATCTAAAATTCAGGCTACCTGGCTAAAAAGTTACTCCTATATAACTTAAACCTTAATTTTATTTTCAATCCAAAACCAAGTTATGTTGAGACGATTCATCATCTGAACTTTTAATTTATCTGCAGACAAATCCCAGAGTGTTTGAATCCCAGAATGTCTACATTGTACCTATTTACTTTGTAGCATTTTACATTGTATTTTATTTATCAAATTTGGATTTTATTAGTGAATTCCCACTTTGACCACTTGTGACTGAAAGAGGTAATGAACTCTCATAAGCCCCTGCAGTGACCAGCATCAAATTTTCTTCTCATAATAATCAAAACACAATCAAGTAGAAAGGTTAAAATAATTAATAAATTAATCACCAAAGAGAAAAGTAATGCTTAAAAATGATCTTTTGACATACAATCGTATTCTCTCACCTAAATTTTCAAACAAATGTATGAAGATCAGTCTGGAGAGTTTGCAATCATTGGATCTAACTGGGGCTTAAAGGGTCAAAGAAGCTCATTCACTGCACTTAACTTACTTTGCCGATCATAATCTTGTTGATTTTGCACTGTGTTCTGTCTCTGATGTCTGCACTACTTGTTTTTGTCACCCTTAAAAGATCTGCCAGAAAACATAACTGATTACGGGAAGGAATAATGCATGCAATTAGGGAGGGTGTATCACATGAGCTGCTGAAATTTTGTTCCAAGGGGAAAAAACCAGCATAAGGTTGTGTTACATATTAATTGTGTTACATAATTATTAATTAATTTTAATGCATCTCTTTAGGCATTCTAGATGTCTCCAACCAAGTGGTATGCCTGTGGAAGCTTCTCGAGGAATTGAAACTACTAAACTAGACAAAAATCATAAAGAGTCTTTTTGATGGCCTATAAATTACCTTTCAACACAATCTGTTCAATATAATTATATAAAAAATAATAATAATTTATTTTTTGTTTTTACATTTTAGATATTATAAAATTCATATCACTCACACCTGTTCTAGCTGCAACAATATCTGGAATGCTGACTGGTGATCCTTCAGACAGAGATTTTCTCAATGGCTGAAAAGCTGCAGCTATTTCATCTTTCTTTACCTAATGGCAAGAAACAACAGAATCACCAGGAACAACCATAGAACACAAGTGCCACACAACAACAACAACACAACAATTTTATTCTTTTATGCCCTAGCAGTTAAACAGCTTGCCACACTGATGCATGAAATAAGAAGTAAATGCTAATGCAAAATAGTTCATTTCAATAGAAGTAGAATGATTATATTTTAATCGATTATACTGATAACTCATAAAAGTTTTCCAATACACTCACGTAAATACCTCTAACCAACAACAACAACAAGCTTTATTTGCAGGATCATATTAGTACAACAGTACTATTGCAAAGCTATTTACCAAAAAAAAAATTACCAAAAAGCCAGTTTTCCTTGAGGTCTTCAATGAATGGGTGCAATATTATTTTATTGCCTCGATCAAGAGGTAGCATGGCCAAGTCAGGGCTGTGCTCTAGTGCCCAACTTTTGCTCTCAGGCTACTAGAAGATACTGGTTTTTTCATACAAATCATATTCCTGGGCACCTTTGATTTTACAGGTTCATCTTCTCGTCATCCTCTCATACTGATGGGCTCCATTCAATTTTCCTTCAAGAGCACAACCTTGCAAGTGTATTGGACTTGCAATCCCACTGTCCCAGAGACTGTCAAATCCTGCGTACACTTCCTACCCTGAATTCTAATAGGTGGTATAGGTTTTCATGGTGTAATGGCATAGCTGTTTCCCAATAATAATACTGATCCTGTATTCAGGTCTTAACTACCTCTTAAGTAATGTTTTCTTCTTTTTTTTCCCTTATAGATTATTTCCTAGTACTGGATCTTTTCCCTGAGTTCCCAAGGTTAGACCGCAGGACATGTATATTTCTAATAATTGCATAATAAACCAAACTAACAAAGTAATATAGTCTACGGTAATTGGCAAACCTTAGCTCTGTCAGACCAACCAAAGGACTGCACTGTCACATCCAATCTCTTCAACAACATTGACCGACGAAGTGTGTATTCCTGATTTAACTGCGAGTTGATTTCTTCCACTCTACTCTAAAAGTAAACATAGAACAATAATATTTTTTCTGCAAAGGCTTGATTTTTTTGCACAAACGTCCACCAAATCTGGGCATTTGGGATGGACTCTGGAGGTTCAACTTCAACTGTAAACTGCATAGCAAGCATTTCTGTGTGGTTTTGGAGAAAAGAATGAGGAATGAGAGTCATAAAAAAAAACATAGGGCAAGCAAAAGAGCGGGGAGGGGGTGAGGAAGAAAGGAAGAACACTCCTTCCCCTCCCCCTTCCCCTCCTTCATTTTTTGGCTCTAGTTCCATTTTTTGCGCCACTGAAACCAAAAATCCCATTCCACGACTGTCCTTGGTCTTTCTTCATTCTGAAGTTTACCACATGGAAATGCTTGCTACTCAGGCTACTACAACTGCTATGAACTTACCCACTGCTTTCGACTCAGAGTTTTTGTTAACAATGGACTCCCAAGATGGTCTCTAGGAGCTTTGGTAAGGAGCAGTTGTACCTGCAATATTTTTTAAAAAAGCAAATTAGATATACTGTATATTCACATTGAAAAGAGTTACATAGTAGTTACATGATTGTACTCATTTTTTGGTTCAAACCCTTGGTTTTACCAAAAAATATGGTTAAGTTGCAGAAACGTTTCAACTATATACATGTACACCAGCTCGAATCTTAAACTGTTTGTTCCCCAGTAGCCATACATTGTACAGTCTCTCTCACAGCTGTTTTTAGTGTTGTCATGCAATGACCCTGCCCACAGGAGCACTGCGTGATGACAGTAAAAATGTCTGTGAGGGAGACTACACATTGTATGAATACCGTAATCCTTTCTTTTTCACAATGATGCATCAAGTTGTTTCAAATTTTAGTACTTGGTATTATTTTCACCTTACAACTAATCATATGCTATACTTACTACAGAGCATTTGAAAATCATGATTGCTACCAACATTTCTTTTTATGCAAGCTTATGAATCGTGACGTTTTTATTTGTCTAGTTTTAATGTCAATTTCTTGCAATTATTTTTACTTTTCACTTCTATCTAATTTTTTGTAAACAGCGCCTTTGAATCTTGTAGAAAAGGCGCAATATAAATGGATTATTATTATTATTATTACTATTATTGATTAATTAAAATAATTTTTTTTACTTCCGTAATAATAACTAAAAAGTGATAAATTAAATAATAATAACTGCAGCTGTATATGCGTTTTAATCATAAATGTTGGTATTGACTAACCTTATTTTCTATCTGGGAGAACAGACCAAATACAGTGGAGTCTTTGGTAGGTTGTGGTAAATCCAGTGCTATGAGTATTGCTATGAGCTGCTGGAGAGCAGGACTCACTGCCTGTCATAATTGTTGAATATAAAATTTAATACATGTAGCTATAAATTAATACACTGTTAACTATAAAATACTATAGTCCCAACCAATGAAACAAATAGAATCCTTAGCTTAGTCAGCAGGTTGTTTGAAGTGGGTACTATGTAGAAGGCAAAGTTTAAGAGTCTTGCTTAATCAGATTCAACAGGAAATACATAGCCTCCAAGCAAAAAGACATCTGCATAAGAGTTTGGGGGAAATTAAAATGGGTTTTGTTAAATTAAATTCAGGTTTGAAATAATTTTCTAAGATTGAAAACATCAGGATTTCACTCCACTGTGAAAATTATCTTGTTATCAAGTATTGAGTAATGACTCGGAAGGTACTCACTTGATCTTCTATCTCCATTAATACATCTTCTTCTCCCCCAATCATCCGTAATGCCTGAAGCTCTGATGTGAAGTAGTCTGATTAATAATTACAAGGAAAAAATATTAAACATAAACATGTAAAAACTAACGAAGGAATGGAAATTAATACAAGTTCAAAAGGAGTTAATTACTTAAGTACTCAAAATTGCATGAAAGAAACACAGCTAAACAAAGACTTTGGCATGGATTGAATCCGTTTGCAAGTTCAAAGGCGGTCTTAATTGCTTGATATAAAGCATTTTGTTAACAAGGCAGTTAAGACTGCCTTTGAATGTGCAAACAGATTGAATCTGTGCTAAAGTTGTCGTTGAGCTGTGTGTTCTGATTAATGCAAATTTAGAGTACTTTTAATTAACTCCTTTTGAACTTGCATAAATCATTGTGCCTAATATAATAAATGATGGAAGCAATTATATGTGATTAGATAAGCTCTTACAAGGCGATATGCATGGTTTCCTTTCTAGTAAACACCATAAAGCACAATGCACTGTTACAACCTAATCAGCTATGCAAACACATGTTCAAGTGGACGTAAGAATGTACCTAATAGAAGCAGTCTGTTGGCTGGTGATGCAAGGCCATTTACCCCTAGCAGGTGTGAATGAGGACAACCTGTGATGTAAAGAACAAAAATGGACATTAAATTTGCATTTGGTGACATAGGAGAAGTCATTCAGATATGACTATTATTGTTGTTCCATACAAATTTAATGTTTACCTATACAACTAGAGAAAAATCTAAGATTATAATAATCGGTCATGATAGAAATAAATGACTGCTTGTTTTTCAGCTGTACTTACCCATTTCATTCAACAATCCACTTATTTCCATTCTGAAAGTTTCCTCATCTTCCTTTTCTGATATAAACATATTCAATTGAAGTATTATGATAAATTTAATAATCTTACAAAATGAATATACCATTCCAAACATTGATGAATTTCAAAAGAACTATTAAGTTTGGATAAGTGAGTCAGTCAGAAGGTATAATTCAGACACTTTAGCTTTGGGTGTACACTTTGAATGTTTGGAAAAGGCTGTACTGGAAGGACAAGTGACAGTACTGGGGAAACCATCTCAAGCCTAGAAGAAAATGGAAATATTGCACCAACAAGAGGCTTAGATACACCACAAATAAGACTGGGGGATAAACACTAGTCCTGTACAAAGCTGCAGTGAATGTGGCCTTATCCTGTGGAGGATACATGACCATATACATGTATTTGTGACCTGGATGGAACAAATGCACCCAAAATTACAAGGAGTTGCCGCCTTTGGCTATAAATGGAACGAACTGACCTCCTGGCCCTAGTTGCTCGAAAGGTGGATAGCACCATCCTTTGAATAAATCTCTTTTCAGTGGAAAACACAACTAGTTTTCGTAACACTTATCCACTGGGTAGTGATTTATCTGGTGGATAGTGCTATCCAACTTTTCAACAACCAGGGCCTGGTTATTATTTACCTGAGACACTTTCTTGTACACTGCAAAGATTCTTCAGGTTTTCTACCAGCCAGACACATAAGGTCATGAAATCTGTTGACAGTGTTTCACCTTGCACTGCAACAGCTAGTGCCCCTTCCTCCAAGAGGGGGCTATCAAATCTTAAAAAAAGTAAAACCCTTTAAAATAATCTTCGCAAGGTCTGTATGGTAAGTGTACTTAAATGATACCGTTACAAATTCAACAGACGACATGTAGTCTAAACAATGCAGTGCAGTGATTCTACAAGCATAATTTATTAAAGAAAACTTTCAAAACGGCTAGGGATATTTAAAGAAGAACTCTTTAACTGAATTCTGCAGGGGTATTATCATCCACAACATCATCACCATCATCATCATCAGCATCAAATTCAAAGCATAAGCTTGTTGGGTCGTTTCTAATTCGTGAGAGGCAAACACGTTTGCGGATAGGCCCATTTCTTCTAGAATTCTTTTGAAATGAATGCTTTTGCAACAACAAATCTAAATTAACTTACCCAAGGTCTTCCAGTGCATCTTGGATGTCACTCTCCATTCTTAAAAGACACAAAAAACGCACAGATTTGTACAAAACGAGGATAAGCAGTCGCAGCTGCAAAAAATAACCAGGCAAACCTTGAAGTAGTACCCAGGTCATCCCAGACAATCCTCACACGCATGTGTATTTTTATTCTAACCGCTGAACTAGTTGACTGCATATTCTCGTGAGTTTGCAAAAAATCCAACATGGCTTCCCAAACGGGGTTGAAAGAAGTAGTTTCTCTTTATCAAACGTTGATAAAGGAGTGGAATAGAAAACCGGTTGACCTTGAAAAAGTTGGAAAGCTTCTTTCTGGAATGAAAGTAAGTTGCAATGTTTCTTTTTCATTGAATACATTATTACTAAATTGTTTCTCTGATCTTAGAATGATTTCTTTAGCCCTCGCCTTTCACTCGCATGCATAGAATTTTGTCGCGAGAACTTATTTTAACATCATCATCCATTACGACGGAAGTTTCACAAATTTATGTAGTACATTGATATGAAATGCTGTAATGGTTTTAAGCTGCTTGAATATTGTAATTCTCTTTTTACATTATTCAGTAAGCTTATTAAGTTCCAATTTTTTTATGGAATTATATTGAACACACAATGTTGTGGATTGTTTTGTTTTTCTTATTAGATTGAGAAAAACAACAATCGAAAATAAGCAACTGCTTTTTCAATGTGAAAGGCAGCAAGTTCAAACTTGCATTTTTAAGGAGGTCCAATCGAAGAACAATAGTTTGATTTAGCAACAGAATGTTGCTAAATGAATGAGTGAGGTTACTGATCGTTTTGATACAGAGTCGTTTTGCAGGAAGCAAGTTCAGATTTCGTTGAAATTGGGAAACTTGTATTTTACAGTCAAAACAGGTCAAGCGTACGCCCCAAGATTCTATTAATGAATTGATTATTTGAAAAATGAATCCAGTAGTCGTTCCCACAACTAGTGTCAAATTGAATTCAGAATTACTGCATGGGTAATGAGCAGTGAATAATTTACGAGAACTTGTCTGTATTTGGTCAGATTGAAAGTCTTTCAATGAATTAAAATTCTTAGAAGACATTCCCATCAAATTCAGGGAAACTGAGCTGGTAGAAATTTCGTAACTGAATCGCATGTGAATTCACGGCTCATTACACTTGCAAGAATGTAGAGATGAATCTGAAATCTACAACTGCCAATGGACTCAACTTTCCAATAATAAATTCATTAATGGACTTTTGGGGGGTACGCTTGACCTGGCTTGACTATAAGGTGGTGCAATTGAAGAACAATAGGGTGATTTAGCAACAGAATGTTGCTACACATAAATGAATGAGTGAATAAGGTTACTGGTTGCTTCGTTACAAAGTTGTTTTGATACAAGGCGTTTCAATACAAGGTTATTCAGTTGAGGTGTAAATAGTTTTATGCACTTGACTTAAAGAACAAAGAATATTCACCCAAAACGTTTTTTTTTCTTGTTCACATGAAAACTTTAATGTGACATCTCATGCAAAAAATGGATTTTTAAATGGATAGCCGTTTGTATGCAGCTCATCAGCTGTTCAAACAGATTGGGTATCCGTTCGAATGGCTCAAGCTATCTGTTAAAAAAAAATGGTCAGCCGTTCGAACGGCTCCAGCTGTCCATGCAAAAAAAAAATTGTCATCTGTTTGAGTGGCTCGGGCTATCTGTTCAAAAAAAATTGTCAGCTGTTTGAATGGCTCGAGCTGTCTGTGCAAAAAAAAAAATTGTTTTCTGTTGGAACAGCTCAGGCTATCCGTTGAAAAAAACTGTCAGCCATTCGAAGAGCTCGGGCTATTTGTTCGAAAAAAATTGGCAACCGTTCAAAAGCTAGATCCAGCTATCTGTTTGAAGAAGAATTTTGCTGGGTTTCCATTCCAGAACAACTTCCTCACCAGCTACTTGTGTCAAATGATCTGTTATTCTCCATGTATTCTTGAGTGGTCCCGTTACGAACTTTGTTTACAAACGTATCATGAATAGTCACAGTTCTTTTTCTGCCCCTACCTCATCTTTTCGTCATCCATTCAGCCATTCCATTTCGAACGGCTTGGTTACCCCGTCCTCATCTGTTGGCTTGCCGTGTGTTCGTATACCGTGCATTGTTTATAAGGAACATTTTTGAGTGAGAGGTCACATATTTGAAGTGAATGGAATTGTTGTGAAATAATTGCACAATTCACTGCACAATTCACTGCTCATATTGAAACAACTTGTATCAAAACGACTTTGTATTTAAGAATCAGTTGATGATGGGGTAGCATGTAGAAAAGACATGACATTGACACTGAAAGTGCCATTGTCACTGCCATCATGTTGTTCTTAATTTGCCTAACGAAAGTGATATGTGACTATATAATACATGTAGGCAGACCCACTGAGGTTGCTAGCAGGCACACTGCCAAGCCCCTAAACTACTGTAGATACCTTCCTCTTTTCTAAAAACTTTAAGAAGACTGGCAAGTTGTCTACCTACCACTAAACTATGTAAATTTTACATCCTTTTTTAAAACCTTTAAGTCCAGTGGTGAGTTGCCAACCCATCAAATCATTCAACTCCACAAGTCATTTTGCCAATTCAGGGTAACGTTTTCATCAAGAATTCTTGTAGCAGGAGAAAGGTATAACATTGCAGAACGTTGCAGGAGAATATTGTGAAAGAGGCTCCACATCTGAGTAAAAAATAGTCATAGGCTATCGAATGTTAGCCGAAGAATTTTGCACAATAAATGGAGAATTCTCCAATCTCTGATGCCTTATGAAAACTGTGCAATGTCCTATTCGCTGATGTTTGAAGCTGTTTTGTTAACATGTTAAAGCAGTTCCCTAACTTCTATTGCCTGATCAATGGCTTATGAACAAGGTATACTGAAAGAATGAGGTATATACATTATACATGTGTAGCACCTGTTTTGTCTTGTAAGCAAAACAACCTAAGACATTAGCAAATGGCACGTAATCAGGATGATACTTAGGCAAAATGACCGGTCACTTACTGTTATTAAAATTGAAGGTGAATGGGTCCCAAGCTACTCTACTTTTACAAATTAAAAGTTGTCCTGCAGTTACCACTGGACGATGTGGCTGCTTATAATGAGCTATTGCTATTTACTAAAAGTTCAAGGTCAAGTCTTTCAAACTTTTACTGTCAAACTCAGAAAGTCATGAACACTTGAAATATTTTCTGATTAATTATGACCAATGGCAACAAAGATCTCAGCGTAGGATCAGCAACAAAACTACTAACTAACTAACTCCCTACTGACTGTCACACCTGACTGGCTCTTTACTTGTAGCACATGTAAAAAGAAAACTTCTTGCTTGGTGGCCATTGATGAAAGATTTTTGCACTAATTAAAAACCCTCTCTTTGTAGATGGCTCTGATTCAATTCTCATTCTTACCAACATCTTCATGTAAGCCAAGCCCACAAGAACTTCTTTTAGCAAGTAAGTTAAATTCAAAGATCATCATTGAGAAGTCAAATGATTATTAATTGCAAGCCCTAGGATTTTACAGTAATGATCGTTTCTGGTACTGTGTCGTTACTGTCATCTTAAAGTAACAGAACCGAAAAATAGTTTCCCAGTGACATGCCCTGATATATTCAGACTGAGGAATCAAAATACACAAATATAGTATTTTTCTACTTGGATTCTTAACTAGTACAGCAATTCTTTATGACCCAGTTTGTGTACAAACGATATTTTAAAAAAAACGTTACAGTAGCGAACATTTCAAGTGAGTAGACTTACTCCTTCAGTTGATCGAAGAGGAGTCTTTAGTGTTTGACCCTTGAGTGTACACACATTTAACACTTAAATAATTGGCCTTCTTCTGACATTTTAATAATAGACTTTGACGTTTTTTGTAAATAATAGTACACACTGATGTTCTTTAATTTTAAATTATGTTTAATTTAACAACAGTCATGTTTCCAGAAAACTGTTTCTGTACATTAAAAGAAATAAAAGTGGGCTGCCATGAATTTTCACAGAACCAAAAAATTGTTACCGATAGTTTGCCATGATCTCTGGGCACGGAACAGAAAAAGTGTTGTCCATGGAATTTGAAATCCTAGGGCTTGTAATTGCCCGAAATAACTACGGGGGGTGACGCAGTCAGCCAGCGTCATAAATTCAGGAGTGCACTCCTTTCAAATTTTTCTTGGGAGTCAAAAATTGCCTTGTTTTTTTAACTTTCCCATATCCCATGCCAGTTACAAAAAATTGTGTGATTGTTATTGGCTGCAACTTCGAATCACATGCAAGTCAGGTTGGATTGCACAAGCTGAAAAAAGATACTGCATCAGCAAAGGAGGCAAAAGTTAAGGTTACAGCATAGAGGAGGACAAAGCCAATTGCTATCCTGTCGGCTGTGTTACCCTTTGTTACCCCTTGTTACCCTGTATTAACCTTTGTTACCCTGTTTTACCCTTTGTTACCCCGTGTTACCCTTTGTTACCCCTTGTTACCCTGTGTTACCCTGTGTTACCCTCTGTTACACTGTGTTACCCTTTGTTACCCTATGTTACCCTTTGTTACCCCTTGTTAGCCTGTATTAACCTTTGTTACCCTGTGTTACCCTTTGTTACCCTGTGTTACCCTTTGTTACCCTTTGTTACCCTTGTTACCCTGTGTTACCCTGTGTTACCCTTTGTTACCCTGTGTTCCCCGTGTTACCCTTTGTTACCCCTTGTTACCCTGTGTTACTCTTTGTCAACCTGTGTTACCCTTTGTTACCCTGTGTTATCCTTTGTTACCCTGTGTTATCCTTTGTTACCCTCTGTTACCATGTGTTACCCTTTGTTACCCTTTGTTACCCTGTGTTATCCTTTGTTACCCTGTGTTATCCTTTGTTACCCTCTGTTACCATGTGTTACCCTTTGTTACCCTCTGTTACCCTGTGTTACCCTTTGTTACCCCTTGTTACCCTCTGTTGTTTTGGAGAACAATAAGGAACCCAGAACCTACGGTTGTTTAGCTGCACTAACAAAAATAGCGTGCTTTTACGTGTCAAAAGAGGTCAAAGAAAATGCTAAATCAGATCAGAGGTCAAATCCTGTTGGCCAGGAACAAAAGCCACAGAAACCAATAAAAATGTACGCATGAAACAGATCAACTTTATGACTTCTTCCAAAATTTTAAAAGAGGCCCACCATTTTCTTAGCAAATAATAGCTTTCACCGTCACGAATGTCCTTATATATCAGGATAGTCTGGACTGGTCAAAGGATGTGATTTTTCATGAAAATAAAAAGTCAAAACACAAAGTTCTGCTTGACTTGTTTAGAAAATAGTTTGTTTAATTTTAGTAATCAACTAACAGCTCACTGATTTATTAATTTGGGCAACCAACTTGGAGGTCTGGGTACCCCAGCTAAAATCTCCCCGAAAATTTTACTTTGGCGACCATCTTTTAGGCCAGGGTTCCCCAGCTAAAATGTTTGGGAGCCCAAGGGCTCCCTGAAAATTTTCCTCAGAGCACAGCCTTGCGAGCTGTAGTTATTAGTCTGATATATTACATGATATTGTTGAATGTGGAAGTGCATTAATTTTATTGAGGTTATTAGTAAAGCCAGAATGCAAATGTTAGTTAACTACCCCGTACTCTTAACATATATGGTGGTAATATTGATGTAAATTTTTTTTCGAGGAGTAAAGGAACCCTTGTGTAACTCATCTTCTAGTGTATTTAACAGAACATCTCTGTCTCTCCTGCGCACATTTGTTGTTGATACTTTGCTCAACTTTCCAATGCCATTCAAGATATTCTTACTTACACCAACACATCCCGCGTAAACGCCTTCAGGCATCTTCTTGTTACCTTATATTTTTTGTTGTGACTGTCATTATTTTAGTGAAATGAATTAAATTGGAATTGTATACATGTACAGCTGTGTACTTGGAACAATAAAATGAAGTCTCTAAAGCTCCTGCTTGATTTAAGGCTAAGACATTTTTGTACCGTGATGTAGAGACTCACTTGAATTTTTATTGGATGTTTTAGGGGATGCATTAGAAATTGGTGTTCAGTGGAGTATCTCAAAAAAGGACATTCCGTCATTTGAGAGATACATGGCTCAGCTGAAACCCTATTACCTTGATTACAAGTAAGAGTCGTAGCCATATGTTATTGCCTATGTAAGAGTTTGACAGTTCATTGTCCATTCATCACCTTCTCCATAGTAGCTTTTAGTATTAAAATATGTTAATAAATTCACCAGCGACTTTTAGGAACTGGTTGTTGCTATACCAGTAGCTATGGGGAGTTGGTATTTAGGTTTTGAATAAGTTTTCAACAAAACATGTCTTTCCCCCCCACAGAAAACAAAAATTGTCTTATATAGAATACATGTATGTCCTGCTCCCCTTTCCTTTTCTCTTCTGCCCTGCCACCTCTTAGTCAGTTTACTAATCCCATGGTAAAATCAACCCCAAGGCCCTTGGTGTTCTGTAATATGCCTGGTAGTTCAATAAGCAAAGAATGTGAAATGGAGAAAACTAAACTTGCCTGGATTTGAGATTTTCCCACAGTTAAAATTGGTTATTCTGTTGTACAGAATTCAACAGAGATTCCAAAATCGCTGCAACAATAGATCTTGTAGAGATATTAAGTTTGTTAGAAAGGTATTTGAGTCAATTATTAGGATAGTTGTTGTCAACAAAAAAAAATCGCAAAGGTAAAAATTGCATCACCATTTCCCATCAGAAAAAATGTGCCCCCATTTTCAACTGCTTTTGATAATAATGTACCCCTCCCCCCTCTCTTAACACCAGCCCCCTCCCCCCTCTTAGCGTAACTGAGGCAGAGAAAGCCTCAAAGGAGGGAAGTGGTTGGAACAGCCACTTTTGTGGTACTCAGGCTGTTGAGAAGTGTACATCAAACCAAGCTTTTTGATCAAAAGCTACAGTACAACATGAATTGGCAGCCTGAAGCTGACCAGATTTCAAAGCCAGTGGACATTTTTTTTAGAAATCAAACTTCAGTAGACAACGTGTAAATGTGTAGTCCCCTACAGGTATTTCTGGTATTTAATCCTGTGCTTATTCTCGGTCTCCCAGCTGGAAAATGTAAGAGCGGTAATGGTGTTTTTGTTGTTAACATGTATATTAGAGGTCAAAATTAAATTCAGGTTAAAATTTTTTAACCTAGGTTAAATTGAGAATCAAACTAGTAGGCTACTAGTTTGATTCTCAATTTAACCTAGGTTAAAAAATTTTAACCTGAATTTAATTTTGGCCTGTATTATGTACTCTTCTCATTTCCTAGGGGCATCCTAGAAGAGTCAGCATATATGTACCAGTTACTTGGTCTAAATTTGTTGTCTCTCCTTGCACAAAATCGGCTTGCAGAATTTCACACTGTAAGTATAGTACATGTAAGAAACGGTATGTAAAGTAATATTAATTTGCTTTCACTCTTGGTGATAAAAAAAAGTTTGCACCTAAAGCCCTATTAATTTATGGCATGTCAAGAGTACTGTTGCTACATTTATTGATAATAAACGTCTTTAATAAATTATTTATTTTTCCAACCTATAAAACACACTACATGTAGCTTTTTTAGGGTTTTTTCTCTGATTGGAAGCGATAATTTTACATAAAAACAGTAAAGGTTTGGTGCTATACATGTATGTATAGTTGAATTAATATTAAGGTTTCCTTTTTGTCATTCAGGAACTGGAACTTTTGCCGGCAAAAGAACTACAAAACAATGTTTACATTAAACATTCTGTCTCTTTAGAACAGGTACTAGATATATTTTTTCTTTCTCTATTCAGACATGCATATGTTAGGGTTCAATTTTATCCTTGGTCGAAATTGTATTTTCCTTTGTTTTAAACTCATTATTCAAAATAAAATAAAATTTAGACCAAGGATGAAATTGAACCACAACGTATTATATTGCAGTTCAAAATTAAAAAAGGTGTAATTATTCATAAATTAGAGCTAGCAGATAAAGGAAATGAAAAATCAACCTAGGTTACAACATTTTTACCTGTAACAGATATTAAGATAATAATATACATGGTACCCCTGTACCATTTTGTTGCATTTGATGTGCAGTCTGGTGCAACTTCGTGCACATTGTGCAACTTGGTGTGGTTTGGTGTGACTTGGTACAAATTCGTTCAACTTGGTGCAGGTTGGTGCAACTTGGTGCAGATTGGTGCAACTTGGTGCAGGTTGGTACAACTTGGTGTAGATTGGTGCAACTTGGTGCAGGTTAGAACAACTTGGTGCAGTTTGATGCAACTTGGTGCAGTATGGTGCAACTTGGTGCAGGTTATAAAAACTTAGTGCAGAGTGGTGCAACTTGATGCAGGTTCGTGTAATTTGGTGCAGTTTGCTGTACATTAGTGCAGCTGGGTGCAGTTTGGTGAAACTTGGTGCAGATTGGTTCAACTTGGTGCAGTTTGGTGCAGATTGGTGAAACTTGGTGCAAGTCAGTGCAACTTAGTGCAACTTGGTGCAGATTACTGAAACTTGATGCAGGTTGGTACAACTTGGTGCAGCCTGGTGCAACTTGGCGCAGTTTAGTGCAACTTGGTGCAGATTGGTGCAGGTTGTTGCAACGTGGTGCAGATTGGTGCGACTTGGTGCAGGTTGGTACAACTTGGTGCAGATTGTTGCAACTTGGGGTAGTTTGGTGTAACATGGTGCAAACTGGTGCAACTTGGTGCAGGTTGGCCAAACTTGGTGCAGGTTGGTGCAACGTGGTGTACTTTGGTGCAACTTGGTTCAGGTTGGTGTAGATTGGTGCAACTAGGTGTAGGTTGGTGCAACATGGTGCAGACTGGTGCAACTTGGTGCAGGTTGGTGCAACTTGGTGCAGGTTGGTGCAACTTGGTGCAGTTTAGTACAACTTGGTGCAGTTTGGTGCAACTTGGCGCAGATTAGTGCAACTTGGTGCAGATTGGTGCAGGTTGGTGCAACGTGGTGCAGATTGGTGCGACTTGATGCAGGTTGGTACAACTTGGTGCAGATTGTTGCAACTTGGGGTAGTTTGGTGCAACATGGTGCAAACTGGTGCAACTTGGTGCAGGTTGGCCAAACTTGTTGCAATTTGGTGCAACTTGGTGCAGGTTGGTGCAAGTTGGTGTACTTTGGTGCAACTTGGTTCAAATTGGTGCTGCTTGGAGCAACTTAGGGCGGATTGTACAACTTGTTACATTTTCGTGAAGCTTTCTACAGGTTGGTGTAACTTGGTGAAGATTGGTGCTATTTGGTACAGGATGGTGCAACTTGGTGCAGATTGGTGCAACTAGGTGTAGTTTGGTGCAACATGGTGCAGACTGGTGCAACTTGGTGCAGGTTGGTGCAACTTGGTGCAGTTTAGTGCAACTTGGTGCAGGTTGGTGCAACTAGGTGCAGTTTGGTGCAACTTGGTGCAGATTGGTGCAACTTGGTGAAGTTTGGTGCAACGTGGTGCATTTTGGTTCAACTTGGTTCAGATTGGTGCAACTTGGTGCAGATTGTTGAAGTTTGGTGCAACGTGGTGCATTTTGGTGCAACTTGGTTCAGATTGGTGCAACTTGGTGCAGATTGATGCATGTTGGTGCAACCTGGTGCAGATTAGTGAAACGTGGTGCAGGCTGGTGCAACTTGGTGTAGATTGGTGCAGCTTAGTGCAGTTTTGTGCAACTTGATGTAGATTGGTGCAGTTTGGTGGAACTTGGTGCAGATTGGTGTAATTTGGTGCAGGGTGGTGCAACTTGGTGCAGATTGATGTAGTTTGGTGGAGCTTGGTGTAATTTTTTACAGAGTTGTGCAGATTGGTGTAGTTTTGCGGAACATGGTGCATCTTGGTGCAACTTGGTGCAGATTACTGCAAATTAGGGCAGTTTGGTGCTATGTGGTGCAGTTTGGTGCAACTTGGTGCAGATGGGTACAACTTGGTGCACTTTGAGTCAGTTTGGTTCAACTTGGTTCAGACTGGTGCATGTTGGTGCTCTTTCGTTCAGTTTGGTGCATTTTTGTGCTGATTGGTGCATGTTGGTGAAGATTGGTTCAGTTTGATGCAACTTGGTACAGTTTTTTGCAACTTGGTGCAGATGGGTCTTGGGTTAGATTGGTGCAACTTCATGCAGATTTGTGCAGTGTGGTGTAGATGGGTTCAGTATGTTTCAGTTTAGTTCAACTTGGTGCACAATGGTGCAGAGTGGTTTAGTTTGTTGTAACTTGGTGCAGGGCTGTTCAGATTGGTGGAACTTGGTGCAGATTGGTGCAGTTTTGTGCAATTTTGTTTGTACACTTATTACGGTCAGGTTCTACATAATTGTGTTGGTGTTTTATGCAGCCATAGTACATTAGTATATCTAGTATGGCCGTGTTCTATTTTATTCGGTCGTAGTACGTCAGTACACTTAGTATGGCCATGTTTTTTATGTTGGTATTTTATTCGGTCTTAGTACATTAGTACGCTTAGTACAGCCATGTTCTGTGTATGCTGGTATCTTATTTGATTGTAGTATGGCCATGTTCTTTGTACGTTAGTACCGTCAGTAGAGCTGTGTCTACGTTTTTTGGCATTCTATTCTGTCTTAAAATGTTAGTACCCTTTTGTACAGCTATGTTCTATTCTGCCTTGTTATGGTTGGTATGCTTGGTACGGCCATGTTCCATTTTCTCTGGCATGCATGCATGGCATTATTCAGCTTTGTCAGTCATGTTTTACGGCTATGAATTGGTGATTTCATATGGAATAACGTTATTTAAGAAATAAGTTGCACGGTAAACACAGAGCACAGAACATAACTAAGACAACTGATAAATAAAAACATGCAGTGACTTAAGGGGAAAAACAGCCCCTCTTCATGCTTAACATACTGCAGTAGTAACTAAAGACATCAGAATCCAATATACACAAAATCTGTGAATTCAATAAACTCACTGAATTCCAAGTACACTTGCCAGGTGTACTAAGCGAAAAAAAAAATAGAAAGTGGTGCCTAGAATGTGCAGCATATGGATGTGTGGCTGAGAAGGGTACATGTATATTTTCCAGTAGGTTAGTCTGGGATAATTTACATGTGCATGTATAAAGAAATTTGGTCTAGAATAAAGTTCCATCATTAATTTCTGAAAAATTGATCAGTATCGAGAAGGGTAATTCTTGGCACAGATCAAAACAATTATTATTATATTTGCTGGTTCAAAATTAGTCTGTAATTTTTATGCTACAACCATTTGCAAAAATCATCTTGAGACACTTAGTTGGGCTCATGTGGCATGTCCATGATCTTGTGCTTGTGATCTCCCCTGCCCCACTCCCTTGCCAAAGTTGCATATGAGACCATCTCAAATTCTTGAGGAACAACCTTGAAGTGAGGGGAGGGAGGGGTGAGTGTTATAATTATCTCTCAGATGTGTGACTACAGCTGTAGCAGTGATATTTAGTGAAAACAGCTTTTTTGTAAGATAGCCTATATTCTTGCAACTAGTTTTAGTCCAGAGTAAAGAAGCAAAATTGACGTTGAATGAGGTAAGTTATATCCAGTGTGCTAGTAGTACCCCCACCCCCTTAAAAAAATTAAGAGTACTCCCCTCCCCCTGGCCTTCAACATACACTAGCTTTATTGACAACCAAACAGGAAAATGATGCAAAATGTTGTACATCTTTGCCTTGCAGTACCTTATGGAGGGAAACTACAACAAGGTATTAATAATCATTTCTCAATTAAGAAAACTAACAGAATCTTTTTTTTTTTTGCATTATTCCAGGAGTGTAGCTCTGATTCATTTGAATTTGGTTGATTAATAATCGGAATAAGCAACAAAATTTGAAGGTGAATTCATTTTTTTTTTAGGTCTTTCTTGCAAGAGGAAATGTACCAGCAGATAATTATCACTTCTTCATGAACATCCTCTTAGATACTCTCAGGTAAGGCTTAAAACATTACGATGGAATCCATCAGGAAATTGAGTTATAACTTGAATTTTCAGTAGACAAATTCCTTGTTCTAGAGTATCTTAAGCCATATGGCATTATTTTTTACACTTTTCAAGGGCTACTTATTAGTTATCTGTAACAACACTAAAGACAAATTCTTGTGGGAGCCTGAGAACATAAAAATTTTAAATTGCACAGGAATTGAGAAAACACAGGTTAAATCATCATGCATAGGATTTCGTTCTGTGAAATGTTAAGCTTTTGAAGTTTGCTTTCTTGGGCTGTCATAAGAATCTTTTCTTTGGAGTTATTTCGCATAACTTACTACATTTGTAGCCCTTGAAAAGTGTAAAAAAAAGGATGCAATATGCTTGAAATTATTCTGTGACTGGTTACTCAATTTCCTAATGGATTCCCCCTTAATTCCTTTTAACCTAGAAGGTTAATGTACATACATGTAGAGGTCCAAATTCATTTGATATTTCATATGGTAATTTTATTTTAATGCCTTTTAGAGATGAGATAGCAGCTTGCACTGAGAAAGCCTATCCATGTATATCCTTACCAGAGGCAACCAGGATATTGTATTTTGAGAGCGATAAAGACATGAGGGCTTTTGGTGAGAAGGTAAAATGTTATTCTTATCTTTACCTTCTTAAATCTTTGCTAATTTTAAGTCATGTCTCATATAGGACCAAAGTGGACTGTCTTACATGTCTAGAGGATAATCTCTCCTAGTCCAAAAGCTTAACACTTTTGTTAGCCATAGAAAGTTTTGTCAGATCCATCTTGAAAGAGGACGCAGTAACATTATCATAAAACTTGATAGTATCCACAGACAATTCATTATCCAAAACATGTTTGTTCAGGATTGATAGTGTGTAGACAATTCTTGTGTGGATACATTAAAAGTCCTGTTCTGCTCGTCATTTTCACTCACAAAGTTCAAAGTTTATTGAGAGATTTTGCAAAGTGTTCATGGGTACAGACAATAACTCTAGCCTGCAAAATAGCTAGAGCTAATCTAGCCGGCTAGTGGAGAGATTAAGTAGTAAGTTTTACATAATTAATAAATAGCCATAAATAAGCAGGTAGTATGAATGTATAATATGTAAATAGATAATTGATGTTAAGGACTGAAAGGAAGAAATTGGGTAAATAAAGCTACTTTGTACATACATTTTGAAATTCACAAGGACCACTTTGAGTCTTGATTCACAGCTGAGTGCTCAGAGCCAGTGTTTACCACTCATAAACTCTTCAAAATGCTCAGTGTTCTAACTTGGAGGAAAGTTTTCGTGCATTTAGGATGTTTGAAGGAAATGCTAATGGTAACTTACAGTCATACATGTAACACGCTTGAATGGGTCTTAAGAATGATATCCATGTACCATGTATGCAGTAGGGGGAAGGGGGGAATGGGGGGCTAACGTGATGGTCAGTTTTTTACTTTTTGTACAGCATTTTGTTTTTGCTTTCTTTTTCTCCTTCAGCGAGGCTGGATTTTAAAGGAAGATAAATATTATTACTTTGAGCTTGAGAGTGAAAAGGAAACAAAACAGGAGATCCCATCGTACAAAATGATCCAATACATGCTTGAGTATGCTAAAGAATTAGAGAGAATAGTTTGACTACGAAGGTACCAGATCAGATGCCTTTTTGTACATTGTCTTGTTTGTATTTCATTTACAGTGATTGATGTAAGTTAAAGGATCATAATACAATACTGACAACTGTCAGATTATGTTATTGTTTGAATCGTTTTGTTTTTTTGTTTTACTACGTCTTTGCATTTTTGTCTTCTTACAGGTAACACTCCCTTAAATTACATCTCTATAAGGTGGACATCTTCCTAAAGTTGACACCTTAAGTTGATCCCTATGGTTTACAGTGCATTTTCTTGGCTCTCTAAAGAGAGGTGTTTCTCTATGTCTGCCTTCTTGTCTTTTTTCTCACCAGTCAAAAATATTTTCTTCTGATTGACCAAAGTTTCTCCAGCTTTTCACCCCATTAAGGTCTGCCTTGCACCTCTTTAAAGCCAATAATATTTCATTGATGTACTATATGTTTCAGTTCTTTTGTTTTGGGGTTAGGTTCTATTGATAAATTTTGTTTGTTCACTTTTTTCCCAACCAGTCCTGTGCACCCTTGTTACAGCTTCAAGGCACCTCCCTAGCTTACCATGTAACTCTAAACAGGGTACTGTAGCTTCCACCAGACTTAAAGATTAATATTCGCATAAGTTGTTAAGGTTGTGGACTGACTACACACACATCTCAGCTTTAAATATTTTTATTATCAAATGCAGTTGATTCGTAATTTTTACTATTTTATAAAGGAATGCTCTTGATACAAAAAGTATTGATAAATTAATAGTAGAGTTTTTTTAAACTTATAATAAGACTAATGAAAGAATGCAAAATATAATAGATGATTATAACAAAACACTTAGCGTGATGCTTGTCACGAATTTATGGCCATTCTTAACACAAAAGTTCAATTCACTTTATTTTAATTGTACAATTTTGCAATGTTTTGTCTAGTTTGTTTGCTTTATTCTTCAACCAGCCACAAAAATAATGCTATTTTGGTAATGAATTTTGTAAAGGCTGTCATTACTTAGGACGGTATGGAAATACATACATCCACCACACGTCCAATGCAGTAGCCACCTAGAAAAAAAGGGGAGAATTTATGAAATTATAACAATGTGACTAAACCGCTTTCTGATAGTATGGTAGGCTCGATTTCCAGCCGCTGTTTGGTAAAATGAGAGGATCAAAGATGGGACCCAGGAGACGGCGGAAATCGAGCCGCTATCACAAGTTGCCTGACAAGAATTATTGTAGTTGTCTTTATATAAAGGAGATATTATGATTATTAAATTAACTCAATTTTGGGCTTGTACCTCAGAGCTCCAGGGTATTACAGAAGTGGCATCTTGCCACTTGCATATGCTAATTTTCTTAATGCACGAATTTTCTTCATGCCTTGCAATAACAGACTGTCAGTACTGCAGATTGATTCAGACCCTTAGACCTCTAACTTCCGTGCTGCTTTGTGAAATGCAATAATAAATTAAGTTGTTATAAGAAAGGTGTCCTTTTAACCATTATTGTGCACAACCCTTGCTGTACCTAGTAAAAACCATTTCTGCATATTAGCCTGGGCATGATTGCCTATTCTTACCTTGCTCATAAGCATTAATTTTGAAGGAGTTGCTTGCTCCACGAATATCTCCATAGATCTCAAAGACATTTTCAAACAAGATGAGGATTTCATCCACTATGTCAATCACAAAATGGACACAATGCCCTAAACAAAATGACAAAAAATACTATTGAAAAAAATCGTAACAGTTTCTTCCTACATAAAATGTGCTGCTTCATTGACAATATTTACTACTGAACTGAATTTTGAGGCCACCTGAAATCAATTATTGCAGTCAAATAGTTACTTATTGCTCTTAGTATTATTGTGTTCTGAGGTTGAGAAATTCCAAAATTCAAAATTCAAATCAAATTTTACTTAATTTGAAGAATTACTCTTTTTTTTCCATTTATCAGATTCTCGTTTAGTGCAGCAAGGATTGAAGCAGAAAGTGGGAGTCTGCATGGTTATGAGGTCGTACTTTTACTGTGCTAATTCCTTGTTCTGGTTACATTTACATCTTTATAGAATTTTTTAGTACACCCAAGTTCAATTTCTTGTTGATAATATAATTATTGCAAAAAAACCGACTTGCTTCCTGTAGATCCTTTGTGTTTCCAAAATACATTTTGGTGCTACAAGACTCTCAGTTATTAACGAAAAATAAAACATTAATGATATAAAAATATTTTATTTAATAATTAAAACGTTATGTTTTCAGGGATCCCATTAAGTGCCGGTAGCCAGCTAACAAACGGGCTACTTTGAGGTTTGAGCCATCTGCTTTTTGGGGAAATAGGGTTAAGTGGGACAGTGAACGCCTGAAATTGCCTACAGCACTCAGTTACACGTACCAAGCCGCCTACATTAATTTATTTTACATCTTGGGTGTCTACTTTAAAACTTAATGAGAACCCTGTGTGTTATGAATTCTTTATAAAATAATAGTAATTGTGAATATTAGTTAAACAAAAAAATTGAATTGACAGCAAGCTACTTGGACTTTGAGGGTTTGTCCCACCACCTATCCCCTAAGGAAATGGTAACAACATTAAGTTTTGTTCTACATTTCTTTCTTGTTTACCTTTTACACATTCAATGAAATCCGTTGCAAGCTTTTCAAGTGCTTTAGCAATATCTGTTTCTCCACAATCCTCAAATGCCTTGCCTATCTCTATCAAAGCTGTGCCAAGTAACTCTACTCCTTTGAAAATTTCATTGTTTTCAAAGGCAGCGAATGATTCTCTAAATAACTCCACTGTGTGGTTTCCATCTTTGACGCATTTCTCAAAATCAAAGCCTTCTTTGCCCAGTCCTGCTGCTATCCCACGGTACACCTGTACCCATTCCTTATCCGTTGTGCCATTGACTCCGACGAGGGAGGAACTCATAGCATCAAAATACTTCTTGTTTACCCTATAGAGGACATATTTTTAAAAGTAGTGACTGTAAGATGGAAAGCTTTGCGGATACTTTCATGGATAGTTCTATTTAGGGTAAAAAAATAATTCTTGATCTTTTAAAATATGTACATGTGTACAATTATTATTAGACTCATGAGAGTCAGAAAAAATTTCTTCTGCTAATCAGTTGTGCATCAGGAAATGAAGAACAGTTCATGCTAAGCCATTCATGAAGACAAAAGATTCCTTGTCTCCTTACTGGGGAAATGTCCGCTAATATTATTATGTGTTCAGTGCAGAGGAACAAAATTAATTTATTTACTAAAGAGAAGGGAAAACATCCAGAAAATTCGTATTTGCCTATAAGGTACATGTAATCAAGACATTGGTAATATCCTGTCATCATAGTGGAAGAGACACTCCAACTTTTCTATTGAAACTGAAAGGGTTGTTCAACACTGTTTTGATCAAGACTTGTTATTATGTACCAGTACTTACAAATAACGATAATCGTATTTTCCATTTGGAAGGTAGGATTTAAAAGTGAGAGATCCAGTGGGAATAGCATCCTTGAGAGGGTTCTGTCCGCCTCCAACATAATAGTAGTCTATATACATTTCATTATCTGCACCATTGGGGTACACACCTACAAAACAAATTAAAATAATAATGATTTCAGCTTACGGGAGGTTCTATACAGAGTAGGACTGACCATTCACTATGCCATTCACTTTTTTACTGCAGCTTGTTTGTGTTTAAATGATATAGAATGTCAAGACATTTTGGAAACCTTTTTGGACCTTAAAGTCTAGATTTATTTTATTTTAAAGGCTCTTTTAGTTTCCTAGTACCTCGAAAAAGGGTGCCAAAGTCAGCTTATGAATCTGAAAATGTTGTTGTTGTTGTTGTTGTGGGAATGCAGTTCCATTAATTCTATGGGAGGTGTGGGTAACACAAGTCAACTGTATTAATTTTCATATTACCTATCCAATCTTTGTTAGTTGCTTCATCAACTGGGACTTTCCAAGAAACTTTTACTGGATTTCCAAATGAAACAGTTGATACAGACAGGGAAAGTGACCTGTTCTGTTCAATCACTTTGATGTCATCAGCAGCACTAAGCTACAAAACAAAATAAAAATTTTCCCTTTCAATTAATGCAGCTGCAAGGTGGAACCGTAACAATAAAGTTACATGTGCTTGAACAATGCCAAAGAGGGACCACTGACATATTTTTATTTCACTTAACCTGTCTGGAGATGTACTAATTATCTTTTTATATCAGAGATCTGAAAGACTTCCTTATAAAAAAACATAAAAAAGAAAATGAGATTAACTTTTAAAAAGAGGCTTTTAAAAACAACTTGAAAGAATTATGTTATGTCACTGTATGTTCCTTTGGAACATCTTTTACCACTGAATAAAATTGGCGCTAATATGACATTCCTTTAATATGAACTTACTGCATATGCAGCCCACCATCCTTTCTCATCATTCCTAATGGAGACATGACTGGCTATGTTTGGCCCAGGGGATGGTACTTGTTGCCAGGAGTTCCACACCCCACCTCGCTCAAGTTCCCACATGTGCCACAGGCCAGCTTCCTTTCCAACTGTAAAAACCTGTATGTGAATTGCACTTGAAAATCAATAATATTAACCCACATGGCATGGAAGACACTGGAATTTAAAACGGGTAGGGGGCGATGCCCAACTGTGGAGCTCGAAGGACTTGGAGAGTCTCATCGCTGTGTTAAGTGAGGAATTTAGATTATCCCAAAAATTATGCACTCTTTTCCATGCAAATTAACAGCCTATTTGGGTTTTTAACCTCTGTACTGGATATTCAGGGTCACAGTGATATCAAAATTAATGTTATTATTTTTGTCGAGTCAAAACTTATTTTAACTCAACTATGGAATTTGCATATGGCTTTGAAAGTGCAAATACTGCAATTTTCTGAATACAGTACCTTTTAAGATATCAATGTACCTGTGTCTCTTGACTGACCTCAAAAGGTCATGCAATTCACATGTGCAGGTATTTCTCACACCTGACTTTGTTTTCATGGAAGTCTGCATGCTGGCAATCATTCATTATACTAGACATAAAGTTTATTATTTTATATAACATTATGTTTATATAGTATCAACCCAGTGGCAGATCCAGACTTTCAGATAAGGGGGGGGGGGGGGTCGGTCATCCAGACCCTGAGATAAGACGGGGGCCCAGTCTTAAAAAAAAAATTTTCGGGCCTCAGTTTGGTCTAAAAATAAGGGGGGTAGGCTCCCGGGCCTCTCCTGTGAATCCACCACTGCAACCCACACGCAACCTCATACCTCAATTCCAAGATGTATGTTTGTTCCTATACTGAGTGGGTTATTGGAAGAAACTGACTCAGGGATCTTGTTACTTATCTTGTACCAAATACTCCACGTGCACCACCCCCAGGGATTGGGAACCTTGTCACATGTGGTCTGCCATATATGGTGAATATAGCCATCATTTCCATAAATGAAAACATTCAGGACACCACTGAACACACTGTGGCTCATGGCATGTACTACTGGGGCATGCTGTGTCTCAGGGGCACCATATCCAGTTTCATCCCATGACACCCATTTCGTTGGACCTAATGTTAGTAAAGAGTGCAAATTGATGTGAATTACTATCTGAAAAAAAGATTAAGCTATTGAGCTGACACTCCCGCAGTCATCTCAGTATTTGTCTCTCTTTCTGTCAAATGCAAGAGAACCAATGAATGTAGGAGATACAATGGCACGCTATTCTCAAGCAACCAATCTGTGTCTGCATGGAAATGATAAGAGATGACTGGGGATGGGTTTGTTATTTGACTATGGCATGGTGGAAAGAAATACCTCCTGATACGCCAGAAAGGGAAGTCAGAGTCACTTGAAATGCTTTGGAAACCAAGGGCGGGGCTGATCAAAAGACAGATATAACTTTTCACAGAGGAAACAATCATGTTGATACAATGAGCAGGTGTTTAGTCATTGATCAACAAATTGCATTTAGGTTGAATAGACTCCACTTTAAGAAGAATACAAAAAAATATTTAAAATAATTTTAAGCCAGTTTAAATGATCAATGGACATTTTTTCATGACTGAAAAGTTTAATAATTGCATACTTGTTAATTATATCATCAGTAAGTCTAGCCACTAATTATTGAAAAAAAATAATGGTACTTGTTTGCCAGGTCCTGTACATCTTGTTATTTTCCATGACTGCAAATGCTTCTAAATACTGAAGGGTAGACAAGAAACCAGTATAAGGAAGTGATAATTAAAAGTTGCTTGGCTGTTTTGATTGACATGTGTAGCGAATTATTTTATCAGTCAAGTCTACAATACTATGATTAAATGGGCCACTAAATAAATACCATCCCTGTACTAAAAAAGTCTGCAATAGTGCTATAATGAATTATAGTTCACAGAAAGAACCTAAATTTTATTGGTAAAAATGAAGTACAGGGTACTGCCACATTCAATTTTGCCAAAGGTTTTTCCTTTGCATTCACTGTAAACACACAATTTTGGCCATAAGATACAAAGAATCAATTATAATCACTAGATCAATATTTTATTTGCCAATTTCTAACATAAGTCTATTACATGATCTAGCTTTTAGCAGGAGAACTCTACAAGCTCAGTTTAGCTTTTCCAAGATAGAACTATCAATAGTATTTTTCATAACTGTATACCCACCTATCAGTCTATCTCTCTTAATCTGCCAAGCTTTCAGTAAGTGTGGCATCGAAGAGTACAACAGACAGGTTAATAGGAAGTTTAAGCAAATGCATTTTTGAGTGATGCATGTCACCCAGAAGTGAGGTGTTTCTTCTTTAATAATTATTATACCTTGATGCTACCAATTTCCCAATGCTTAGTATCTTTCCTTTTATATAAGAGACAACTTGCCAACTTGAGACAAAAATTCCACCTCCGGGTGTTGTGCGTCGCCCAAGAATATCTTTGCTTAAACTCCCTAATGTCTTGAATACCTTGGAAAAGCCGTTATAAGCTATTGCAACATCAGTTTGTAATGACACAGATGATCCACCAATCAGAACCCAGTTGGACCAGTTTCCATTCACTTCCTGTGCCCAGTACAGTCGGGAGGCTTTTGTGACAGATCTTGAGAAGATTGTGAGCTTGTTCTGATAGGTCAGCACTGATAAGGTTTCTTTGCCATTTAAAGTGACTCCTACCATAAAAATCATTTACAACAACTAAAGTTAAAAGGTTCTTTTTTGCATCTAGCTTTAAAATGCACTTCAGTTCACCAGAAGATACAGGCCAGTGCCCATTGAGGCAAACTTCAAACTGCTCCTATGGTACACTCAGACTAATTTAACATTACATTGAGCTACAACTTTTCAACTCTGTGTCCTCGTTGCTATAAAAAGCAGGAAAAATTAATTAGCAAAATGGTTGGGGAAGGGGGCGGTGGGTGGCAATGACTAGTGAGTGATTGGTGGAAGAAATCACTGAGAGTCTTCTGTTTCAATTAATTTACTTTGCATTGTAAAGTCAACCTGGGGACATAACAGCTCTGTAATGTATATGAACGTCTCCCTACAAGAGAAGAGCTGTTCCTTGCCTTTTTTATTCAGTCATTTTCCTTTTCTCTACTTCAGGGAGGGGGGCAGGGGATCGATCAATACCACTCTAAGATAGAAGCATACTAGGCACTAGTCCCAATGGGCCGGACTAGTGATTAACAACTATACAAACCAGTATCAAATGGAAGCTTGGAACCAACCGGAAGCCACTTTCCAAATTCAACCAAGTTGTCAGTATCTTGAATTTTATAATACACTTGTCCATCATCACACAAACAAAAGACAGTTGTCAGATTATTGATGTCATGAGCTGCTACAGGGTTTGAGATGATTGTCTTGCCCTCTGGTGAGTCCAAATCTTGCCTTAAATAAAAATAATTTTATAATAATTGTATACAATTTAGGAAAATAAATTATAACTAAAATTTAATAATCATTTTGTTTTAAATTTACTTTTTGGACAAACCCACACTCCAGATCCCGATGCGTTCGAATGAGTAACAAGCAATATAACTACAAAGTAATATAACCAAAAAGAACATAACTAAAAGTAGTGAAAAAAATTCAAGCTGAACACGTATATACCCTCATAGTCATCGTTTTATTAAAACAAATTTTACTGGCGAAGTTTGCAATTAGCCTGCATGGGGATTGGGAAAAGAGTAACAAAAACTCATCGAGAGGGCGCACTTCAATCATCTAATCTATTAAGTACATGTAGCGCTCACTTTGGCCCTAACGAATCGAAGCTTCTTCATGTTCATTTTGCGGTTATTGTTTCCGCACGAAAACTGAAGTAAAATCTTTAAAAACCTACCATTTTGACCATGATCCCTTCGAATACTGCTGGAATCTCAACTTTCCTTCGTTTGCATGAAAAGCGAGAAGAAATCCGCCTTCAGCTTGGCGCTTGTCTTCCACAACAGCCAAACGATCCTCGATTACTGAAGCCTTTGGTGCTTTTAGTGAATGCGATCGGTACGCATTTGAACACATGGATATTACAAGAAAAAGCAAAAGGGTAAAAGCCATGGTTCGGCTCACATAAGCGACGAAGCGCTTTCTTACAAAGGGAAATTTTTTCGACAGAAGTCACGAGACATCGTCAACCGGAACTCCCCCAGGTCTCTTCGTTAGCGGACAGTGAGGCACCGCCCCGTACCCACCCATCCCGCTCCTATTCCCTGCTCATTGCATTACTATATGGGAAAAAAAGTCGGAAGAGAGATAAGATAAGTCATTATAAAAGCGAAAAATAATTTTAAAATACGGGAAGGATGTAACAGCTGGATCAGAGAGGGAGCAGTCATGTACGAAACTAAGTTTTTCTTGAAACAAAGAAAGGGAAAATGCCACCTCGTGGTATCCAAAGAAAATTAATGAAAAATAAAAACAGTAACCTTGTTTGTCAGAAAAACGCAGACTCCGGGACCATTGTCTTTGGTTCGTTTTGTGATTTCCGTTTTGGTTTTGGCGAAGTACGTAACAGAAAAAGGAAACAGAGATCCCGAATTCTTTCGTCTTTCACCCAGCGTTCACACTCAGTGCAGGCACAGCGCCCGAGTACGGTTGTCACTGAGAACTTATCTGAACACAAACCATTTTATAAGAACCCAAGACAGAGTTCTGGCACGGTAAGGGTGCCCGAGTAAAGGTCGGGCAGTAAAGTGGGCACTGAGTCCCTATTTGCAAAGGATTTTTTTGTTGATCCACTGTTTTCCATACCCAAACATCCCGCTTGCTCACGCTTCAAGACATCTCAGAGTAGTATTTATTTGATTTCTGTATCAAATCGTTCCTAAAACATACATGAAGTCGTATTTTGGCAAACACCACTGAACAGTATCCGGTAAAAGATTAAACTGTGGTTAAACACAGGCGACCCAAGCGTAACAATTTATGGTAACCAACATCCGGTCCCATCGAGTACTCGTCGCGAATTTTCCCGTAGGTCGATGTTATTTTGTCTCGATCTGGTGTGAACAGCCCGTTATTTTACCCTGATGAACACCTTTTCTCGGTTCTTTTCATTTTAACTTGATCAGCACAGTGAACCTTTAAAAGTTTATGTGTCATTTTGAGCCCGTTTACTCAGCTTTACTATTAAACCCCGACTATAATAAGCGTTTGCGCGAACACGAGTCAACCAGAAATTTCACAGATTTATTGAGTGAAATTGGAATGTTAATTTAAAGTTTGGTGTTAATGATGAATAAAAGCCATTTAATTAAAACGTCCACAGAAAATAAACATTGAATTCCATATTGCTACGGAAGTGCTTTGTAAAAAAGCACACAAACCCTAAGATAATTGCTTTTTATTTCACCAGCTTCATGCGAATTACAAGAAAATTAAAATCTTCTTCGAAGACGGATTTGAAATGTGGTCAGTGCTTATGTCTTGTGGAAATGCTGCTATAAAAGTCTTCAAGATAAAAACCATTTAGGTTTTTCGCTCATTTCAGTCTCTTGTGTACATGAGATAGATGGACCTAGAATCGTTATGGCTCTTGTTGGAAACTACTCAAACTCCACAGCGCAAACTGGGTCGAACTTGCCTCGGTTCAAGCTTTACGCAAAAGAAGAATTAGTGATTGCAACTATAATTGAAATCTGCCTCGCCGCTGTGGGAACCTTTGGAAACTGCGCAGTTTCTGTGGCAGTTGTAAAAAACAGAGCTCTTCACGTTGCCTCGAATTTTTATATGGTTTCTTTGGCCCTGGCAGATCTTCTTGTGACAGCGTTTCTTGTACCCATGCGGGTAGCTCAACACTTGGCGCTCTTCAGTGGAAGCATTGTGGAGGAAGCTGTTGTTTGTGTGTTGGGTTTTATTGGGAGAATAACCATTCTAGCATCCGTGTCTAGCATAGCTGCCTTAAGCATGGATCGTCGCATGGCCCTAAAGCATCCACTGAAATATCACTCCGTCATAAGGTTCGCCAAAGGGCGCGCGGTAAAGGTAATTTTAACAATATGGGTGCTTTCTCTGGCTTTCACTAGCTTAACCCTTATTCCTGGCGTGGATGATGAGGTTTACCTTATAGGATTTGCATCATACGTTTTGATGGTCTTTGCAGTGATTCTTTTTGCGTATGCTAATATCCTCTATCTTGTGCGACAATCAACGCGTTGGAGAATATCTGCCACTAGTTCTCGTTCTATTGCTACGAAGGATGCAAAGGGCGAACTCGGTTTTCGTACAGGTTGTATGCATCTGCCTATGCACAGAAAAACACGAACTCCGAATTCTACCACCAGTGGAGTTGATACTGAAGTAACATGCCCAGAGACAACGCAAACACAATCCACGAACACGATCCACGATCACGAAAACGAACTTGATTCACGTAACGATGGTAAATTGGGGGAAAATAAATCTCTTGAGAGTCTACATGTGGAGACCTTTTCAGTGAGAAAGGAACAAAATGAAAATAAAGCTTCTTCATTCCAGCCGGGTTCTGAAGCGGAAACGGAAATGAAGCGCAGAAAAGGAAAGTTACGGGCAAAGGTGAGCCCTGCTGAAAGTCTTGGCGTGTTTCAGTCGCACATAGAACTGAAGACAATAGAAAAAGCATCAGTGTCCTGTATTGAAGGTGAAGAAAACTTACTTGAGCGAAGACGTCAACGAAATTCGTATTCTGGTCGGGCTCAACTTAAACCGCTCCAACTTCAAAGAAAGCCAAGAACATTTACCATCCCAGTTTCTCTGGCCCATGGAAAAACCACAAATAATCTAGAGTTTGATAAAATTGGTCGAGGGGAAGAAGAATCTGGTATGCATATAACCGGAAAGAAACAATCCATGTCTTTGTGTCCTAGTGAATTTAGTGAGACTAGCATGGTATCCTCTTGCGATCAAAGGACACAATTACCCCGGAAAACGCTACCCAAAAGGGTGCTTGAAAATCATTCTGATTCCAAGTTGTCGAGTATAAACGATGCCAGAGCCAGAAAACGCCAGCGTGAAAGCCAGCTGGAATTTAAAATTTTAAAAACGACTGGCCTCATAGTTATGTTATTCTTTCTTCTTGTCTTTCCACGTATTGTTGTGATCATTTATAGTATATCTGCCGGAAATGATCTGGAATATGTCATTCACGCAAGACTGTGGATGAGAATTCTTCTGTATTGCAATTCGGCTGTAAATCCATTTCTTTACAGCTTACGTCATCGTGAAATTTGGCACGAGTTTATGAAGCTAGTGCGTTGCTGTTACTGGGGGACCGGAAGACGGCACGCGCGCGCATGAAGCAGAAAATGGGAACCTTATTGGCGACAATCTCGTCCCCAGAGCCTTAATTAATTTTGTCCAGCGGACTGTATAAAAGGATCGCGGCCTCTGGATTGTATTGGCGATGCCTTAACTTAAAATATTCAGTTGCGGCGTATGAGGCGCAACTCTGTTCTGTTGTTCCAAGGCAAAATCAGGCTAAATATGCCACCTCTCACCTTTCAAGTTAAGTCAGATCAAAATTGTTTTCCTTCTTCGACACAAGTTTTGTAAAAACTGTAAAAACATGAACATTTCCAATGTAAAATGGTGCAGTAAGAGGGGAAATCTAGGGAAGATTAAACCCCTGTCATCGGGTCCGCCCCTTCCCCCCACTTCCCAACCCTTCCCACCCCGACCGTCGGGTTCACGTCTTGATAAGGCATTTACCACATAGATCTGTGTATTTAGCTCACTCTTGTACGTTAAATAAATACGGCAGACAATTTTTTGCTTTAAAACTGACTTCAGGTTTTTGTTTTAGACTCAGAGCGCGACCATGAAAGTTCATGGACAGGCTCTTGTTGTGTGCAATATTCAAGTGTCAGGAGATTTGGTATTGGATTGTCTGAAGTTCCATCACCTATTTAAGCACTTTTTATCTCTTCAATGATCTTCCGCACATCCTTCCAATTTACATCAACCAAGCCTTTGATTAAACAGCCGCTAAAATCCTGAATCTCAGCCCTGCACACGACACAGCGATGCGGCATCTGTTGTAAGTAAGCCAGCTTAAGTGACTGCCAGGCGCACCAGCCACACACAACAACATGTTCACACGGGAAGGTTTGAATGCACGCTTCGGCGTCCAGACACACAACACACTGTTTATCATCAGTATAAGGCTCAACTGTCTTTGATTGTGTCTTTTGTTGCGTTTGAAGTCTGTCGAGCGCCAAAAATCGATCAATGACGAATGGAATTTTTTCTGTCTCGATGGATCGCAGCTCCTGGATAAGTGCTTGGCGCTCTCTTGTCCCTCGAGCTTTTAACCACCGTTGGAATCCACACCAGAAGAGTAAGAGCGAGGAGAAACATAAAGCATACACGATCACTATTGAAATGCAGGAATATCCCCAGAATCTGAACAGCAGAAGACTTGAAGTGTGGTTAAAAAACAGAAAGCCGGAAAACACGGAGAAAACTTTAAGAAATCGGCAGAATCGAGCAAGGCTTTGAAGGTCCATTTTCATCATTGGTCTTTGAATATGAAGCTCACCTCTGTTTCTTTACAGAGGGATAATATTTAAGGCTCTTCGAGACTCTTTGGCGAATGTGACTTTCCTGTTTGTAATATTGATATACAACAAGGCTAGTACCTCGGTTCCGTGTAAGCCCGAGTCATGTCTTCTTGTACTGGCAAGAAGTTACTGAACAGCAAGGGAAATGAACAAAACTTTGTGTTCCAGTTACTGTAACCAAAAAAGGAGGCCCCTTGTTAAATTGCTGAGATGGTTTTGAAAATGAAAAAACTGATTCTTGATCAAAACACTCGACTTTTGATTCGTAAATATTAATGGGGATCGGTTGTTGCCATGCGTTGGACACGAGGTCGTTTCTACCAGTAATCTTTCGAAAGAACATTTGAACCACCTGTAACTAACATGTCTTGTTTGGACAAGGGCGACCAGAAATTCTTGTTCTTCTCGGTCAAAAACGGTCAGAGAATGTCGTTGTTCTTAGAACATGCAATTTTCATTGCGAAGGATTTTAGGATTGTATCGAGCAAAACTTGCAGGTTCAACACAGTTTACGTTCACTTGTTACATATAGTTCAAGTTGCCCGGGGAAAACGATACCGCATGGTAATACACCATCACTAACAATTTCTGATCTTTGACGTCTCTCCCTGACTTGTAGCACAAGAGAAAACAAATTTAAGGTTATTCTTAGTATTGCGTTGCGCATACTTACTGCGCATAATTTCACGCGTCATTTAGCACGCACATTAAAACATGGCGGCTTTTGCCTTAAGGCTGGAGCTCCCAATTGAGGTAAGTCTTCATTTTCTCTTAAATGAGTATGGTGACCTATCTTTTTTTCGACTTTCTCTCATTTTTTAAACTCCCTGTTTCTAGAATAGATTTCTTCTAATTCTCAGAGCAGAAAAAGAAACAGTCGTCAGAAACGTGTTCACAGCATCTGCTCGTAAATATAATCATGCTGGTATTTTAAGGAATCATTGTGTATATACAAATCACTCCTGCTCCCAAGCGAATATGGGGAACCCCCTGATTTTATTCAGTTCAACATTTAAATTTCTACAACGCAAAAAACCAATCGGTTAAGTTTAAAAAAAAAGCTCACTTCAGTTTCTGCGCTTTTTGGTTTTCTACTGAACCTTGAGAAAACCTGTGGAGCTGACAGCTATCGACCTAGTCGATTCCAAACACCTCAGAGATTGAAAAGAGAAACCCTCAGTTATTAATAACGCTCCAATCAAGGGGAGCACTCAAACTAACAATTTGAATAATTTATGCCCACCCGGACTATTTAGTAGCCTGTAAACCCTTGCGAGCAGATTTTTGTTCGTCTACAAAGAGAGGAATCTTCTTAGTAAAGAGACTAGTAAAAGACCAATCTGGGCTTGGCACAAGCTTTTTTTCCTCGTTAGGTCCTGTGAACAAAGTAGCATTCAACACTGCTGACAGACAAATAAAAGCTGGACTGATTTCATTCAACTCCAAGGAATTTTTGCCCTACGTCATGTGTGATCGGTCACATTACAGTTTGACATTCCCCCCCCTTCATTTTACTACCAAAAGCTGATCTCTTATCTGACTGAGAAAATGAGGCGCTGGGTGTTTTGCCCGAGTCATTGGAGTTCACAGTTAAAGTTTTGCTCCACCTCCAGAGCAGCCAGTTATCCAGACGTGAAGAGCGAATCCTTAGTCTTTACCACCCAGCGGCCGATTCCACCACCTCCCCCTGAAAAATCAAAAGAAGCATATTAAAAGAAGAACGAAGGACAAAAGTTATCTACACATTATATTTAGTTTTCTTGGATATGGCTATAGAATAAGAGATTTTAAGCCCCTCCCCTTGCTTCAGTACCTTTTCGGTGAAAAACCACCAAGAAACAACTCCCAACATTCATTGGGGAGGGGAATTAATTGGTTTGTAGTAGAAGAAAATGACAGGCGTTGAATAGAAATGGGCGACCATTGTTGTCTCTCCCTGTAGTTTATTGAGTTAATTAACACAGTGTAGAAAGAGTGAAGGAAGTGAATGAAACGATTAGGTGCTAAATTGTAATTGTCAGCTGATTTATACAATTAAGATAGTTGGCCATTGCTGTTATTTAGTCATTTCATTAACCTCATGACCAGGGCTTGGAAGGAGGTTGGATAGACATCTCCCTATAATGTCCACCCTGTCCAAGACACAGAGGTGTCGTTCTCAAAGTTATTACTCATAAATCCTCATTGACTAGTTTTGACCAGTAGTATCGTGTAGGTCTTGTGTGAATATCCTCTTTTACACTGGGAGAGTACCAATGAGGTAACCTTGTCCCAAACTGGATGATGCCTATAATGTTGTTGCTGCGAGCATTAGCGAGCAGCAGCACTGTTTGTGATTGTTTATATGAAGCCTGGGCACTTTCTATATGCGTTCTCTTGATCCGCTTAACGTGAATTTGTTGGAGTTGGATCTTTTTTATAGATACAGTAATTGTGTGGTTTGCTTGTTATTCCTAAAGAAGCGTAGACTGGGACGAGAGAAGGGGCAGAGTGGCAGAGTGGAGTTGAGAGATTTAATGTCTGATTAGAGATTGTTTCCTCCCTTTTTGGGCCCCTCCCTATATATCTAGGTTAACTAAGTCAAAAAGCCATTTGTTCGAGGTTTCGTTGTTTTTTCAATACAACTGATGTCAAGATGAAATAAAGGAGACACGTCACAACCTCTGTAGCTGATAATCTACTTCGTTGTAAATCATTTTTAATCCCTCACCGTCTATTATTACCCCGCAGGTCCTTTCTATTTTACGGAACTCAAATTTTTATGAATTCCTTCAATTTCAAGATACTTTTACAAAGCGTTTCTTACTAACACCAAAATCATTTTAATGATATTTAACAACTCAAAGAAATGACAATGATAGGCGTACCTCCTCCAACACCCAATGCACATTTGGTAGGGGTACCTCCACTTACAAGTATTTTGCCGTTGGGATTTCCTTGTAGGCTTTGGGTGATGATGACAACACTGCCACCCGCACCACTCCCTCCGGGAGCTGATCTATAAGCTTTGGTACTGACACACTCCGCTGTTCTTCCTTTGAAAAATAATGTAGCAGTTATCACACCATAAAATCATTTATTTTAGAAATTGAGTAAATAGATAGATACCTCTGACAAAGGGTACAAGATTATGATTATTAAGATCATCATGGAAGGTAGTGCTTCAGGGGATCTGAGACATTGTTCAAAAATTACTGCCATTTTGTCGTCTTTGATTTTAGTGAAAATTAAGGCTGATGTAAAACACCAGAATATACTTAGCATTTTTCATGCCCGAAATAAATTCTGGTAGTTGTAGTCAAATGACCTCCTCGTTAAAATGGCCGATCGTGCAGTTGGCTAAGACTTGAGTTATCACTTAATAAGTGTATAGATCATGTAAAGTACCTTCTGATTCTATTCGGCCATCAAGTGTCAAGTTGTCAAGAAGAAGGTATACCAAGCCACCTCCATGTCCACCCTCCCCCCCGGGATTAGGATCATCTGGCATTGCATTACCACCCCCACCACCTCCTCCACCGCCGTAGCTGGGTCGCTTGGTGAAATCTGTATTGCCATATTGCATTCCTCCTAGAATTGGAGAAAAACAAAAATAATTTAGTATGGATATAATACACAGAAAACGAGACCAAGGATCGTTATCATCGTAAATCCAAGATTTGGTCATGATGTTATTAAAACAATTCTAATTCTTTATAGTTTTGGCTCTGTCACCCTTGATGGCGACCGTTATAAGACGGTAGCCTTCCTTTAATAGTTCAATTCGAGTATTATTGGACTCTCTATGAGGTAGACACCTCTGTAACCTGATGGGCGTTTTCCTTTAACCCGAGTTTAATTTGACTCTCCATAAGGTGGACACCTTTGTATGACGGACACCTCCATTCAGTACAAGTGTTATTTGATTCTCTGTAGGGTGGACACCTATATAAGACGGACAACCTCATTCAGTCCTAGTTTTATTTGACTCTCTATATTAGGTGGACTTCTTTGTAAGACGGACACCCCGCATCAGTACAAGTGTTATTTGACTCTCTATAAGGTGGACACCTTTATAGGATAGACACCTCCATTCAGTCCGAGTTTTATATGACCCTTTATGAGATGGACACCTTTATAAGAGGGACACCTTCATCCAGTACGAGTTTTATTTGACCCTCTATGAGATAGATACCTGTATTGGAGGGAAACCTCCATTCAGTCCGAGTTTAATTTGACTCTCTATAAGGTGGATACCTTTATAAGATGGATACTTCCATCCAGTGGGAGTTTTATTTGACTCTCTATAAGGTGGACACATTTATAAGACGGACACCTCTATTCAGTCCAAGTGTTACTTGACTCTCTATAAGTTGGACACCTTTATCAGACGGACACCTCCTTTCAATCCTAGTTTTATTTGACTCTCGATGAGATGGACACCTTTATAAGAGGGACACCTTCATCCAGTGAGAGTTTTATTTGACTCTTTATAAAGTGGACACCTTTATAAGACGGACACCTCCATTCAATCCGAGATTTATTTGACTCTCTATAAGGTGGACACCTTTATCAGACAGACACCTACATTCAGTCCGAGTTTTATTCGACCCTCGATGAGAAGGACACCTTTATAAGAGGGACACCTACATCCAGTGAGAGTTTTAATTGACTCTCTATAAGGTGGAGACCTTGGGGAAAAGGACACTTCCCTTCACTCTGGATTCCCTGTACATCTCTGTAAGACGGACACCTCATTCAGTTTCGTTTTAGAGAGCGTTTAAGCCTCAAGTAGACACACAAATGAGTAGAGCTCATTGAGACCAGTTGTCATGACAGCCTTTGAGTTCGCGTTTAGCCAGAAGTAATAATTGACCTCCAAATCCTTACAATCGTAACAATCGTGTATCGCGGGCTGTCTATTTCATCAATGCTACTGACAATTGAAGAGGTTTTTTGTGCATTGATGTAGTAAGATAAAAAAAGAACTATTCCTCTTTATCAGATTTTAGAAATAATGAACGATTAATAAAGTCTGCCATCACGCCTTTCATGCCTATTATACGAACACTATCCTCGAGTGCAAATTATTTACCTCCACCTCCTCCGCCACCCCAGCCCTCACCACACGCTGAATCACCTGAAGAGGAACAGAAGGATTAAAAAATCCTAAAATTTGTTACATTAGATACGATGATAGCAGTAAGGATATAGTAACAATAATATCAAGATAATAACTTTGACGTTTGATTAGAGGGTGAGGATAAATATTATAAGATTGATTACAATAGAGCGTTTTCACTCACGTGTTCAGCATCTACGCATGCAAATTATTGGAACAAAAGAAAGCGTTTACATAAAAAAAAACAGGTTGAAATCCCAAAAGACTGGTTTGGAACTCTAACATGGCCACCGTGATGTCATTTGCGGCCGGTCACCGAGGAACCTTCTGTTAGCGTTAATTTAATCTGTTATATAACCAAAAGACAGCGAAAAAGGTAACTTATGACAATTGCTGGTTTTCAATGTCACGCCATAAAAAACAAAAATCTTAATCGTTCAACAGATTAAGTCCAGAATCTTGGATATGAAAGAAGATGCGAGATATTCGGGAAAATAATTTACCCAAATTTATAACGCTTTGTAAGTAGACGCCATGTTGATTTTCATCCGGATGGGCACCAACAATATGGCAGCCGGAAACCAACAGAAACATCTGTCACTGAGTTTTGCTACCAAAGCGTGAATTCCTCTCTCAAGGAGCTCATAAACATTAAGGTTACACTTTTTCTAATACAATGACTCTCCATATAGCAAAGTCTACCAAAATAAGAGACATTTGATGAAGTGGGAATTTGTAAGAATATTAGTTTTTTGCTGCTCTACTACTTTCTGAAAGTAGACATTGTCTCTTGCTGAAAGTAAAAACTCAGGAGGATCCACAATACTTTAGTTTTGAATTTTGATGAAATCATGTGAAAACGAGCAATACTGACAGTCACTAAAACTAGAAACCATTGTCATGCCCCTGCTAACACAGATTACAGATACACTGATGATCAGGAGGCTGCGGTTTATAGGACACTGTTGGAGAAAAAAGGATGAGGTGATAAGTGATCTACTACTCTGGGAACCAAAGCACGGCGCAAGAAAGAGAGGAAGACCAGCATTAACATACGTAGACCAGCTGCAAAATGATACTGGTTTGAGCATAGCTGAACTGAAGAACATCATGGAAAACCGGAAGGAATGGATGAAGCTAGTTAATGGAGTTCGAGTTCGCTCGAAATAAGCAAGCAAGCTAACACAAGACAACACTCTATACTACCTCCCTGTAACTGATGGTGATTACGTTAAGCGCTAACAACGATAAAATGATAATTATAACTACAAGCAACCTCCTTCTCCTCCTCGTGACTCTGTCCCGGCTCTCCCACTTACAGATCCACCACAGCCACCATTTACAGGTTGACCCTATTGTCCTCCGTTTCCTCCTTTTGCCCCGGTGCAGGCTGACACTCCCCCACCCCCAGCGTAGGCACCGATCTACAAATGAGAGAGAATACGTAGCTTTTGCAGCTATAGTATTTACTGTGGGGGTTAAAATCGTCTGTTTTAACCTTGTAAAGTGGTTTTTTTGTGGCCGGTAATTAGCTGTGCAAGTTAAGGTTAACTATATGAGAAGTTGTTAAGGCTCGTGGGAAAACTATTTTGAAATAAATTCTGAGGCAGTTCTTTCAGGGAAATTCAAAATGTTTAAAATTTACCGATAAATGACTTCAGCAAATGTGACGTCAGATGATTTGAAATTCGGTGTCATCGTATACGCAAATTGGATTAGCCTGATGTTCCATAATACAGACAAAGTATGGAATGGAAACGTAAGAGCTAACTAATAAGTTATAATGAATAATTCAAAAATGCAGAGCTTTGGTTTGGGCTCGCTGTGGTTGCATAGTATCACATAGGAATAAACTTACACTAGTTGATGCAGTTCCTCCAATACCGCCGTCACAACATGAGCCACAAGAATTTGCAGCACCACCTCTCCCACCACCAGAAAAATGTCCACCACCACCCCCTCCACCAGAACCGTCATCATTATAACCATCAGTAGCATCACTCCCCCCCCCTCCGGCATTATATCCACCAGGACCTCCATGGGCTGGAAAAACAGTATAGCAAAAAACGTTAAGGCCTGCTGCTTTTTTGTAATCAGATACTCAAACTGTACTTTTGATGTACAGCAGACGTCAGTGCCTCGTCTCATGTTTTTCTTCAACACCAATAAACCACCAAGTTTGTTTTTTTTTTGCAGAATACCAGTTGTATTAGAAAGCCGTAGGTCATCTCAGGAGAGGGTGCAGACCCCCTACACCCTCCCCCTATAGATCCACCCCTGTGATCTACTCTACTTCCTGCATAAATTCAGCCCAAGAAACTTCATACGAATAATTTTCTTTACAAAAAACGTTAAGCAAGAGAATTACTTAATTGTAACATATTTCAACTTCATCACGAAAAATTATTAGTTGCTACCCCATTTTAAATCCGTATTTTTAGCAAGATGGTGGGGCTGACGGCGTCCACATTGAATTTTGTCACAAGTTTCCAGCAGCATCATATACGATTTGAATCATCTTGTTGAGCTCAACACTTGATATCTGTGGCCGGTAATTAATGGATATCAGTAACAGCTAATCTTTAACCGGTAATTTACAACTATTGAATGACCCCTCAGTGGATAACGTCTTCCTCATTCTTCTTATCATACGAATACGGAATTCCAATAATCGTTTTATTTTTCATTCAAATATTTCGAATTTCGCACGATCCTTATCTTGTTGAATACCCTCTTCAAAACAATTGTCTTTTTCTCAGCAAACTTTTAGGATATTACAGCATACTTTTTTCCTTGCAGATACCCTTAAAAAAGTAGATGACATTCATCGAGCAACATTTTTTGCATTTGTTCAGTTTTGTTCTGTTCATTTTTAGCCAAGATCAGTAATTCGGCTATTTCGTCTTTACCCAACCATGAACTCTTTCGCCCTTTTCCTGAGTAGATCCTGTACTCATGCCAAAAAAGCTGTTGCATATTAGCAATATACAATCATTGACGTCAGAGTAACTTACAGCAGAGATTGTATATTGCCGGCATCTTGGCAATATACAAAATTGGTTAGCGGCAGCTTCTTATGAAAATGGGATTAAAGTCAGCGAGAAAGAAGGCAGAAAAGGACCAAATTTAATTTGAACACTACCTACCGTTGATTCCCCCAACTGTCCCACCTCCTCCATTTCCATCCGTGTTCAGTGTCCAGGCCTGCCCGGGTATATCTCCTCCTTTTCCATTGATTCCTGTGTCAAGATGTAAGAATGATTCGCCTCCATATCCACCTCCGCCACGATAATCGCCACCTTGTCCGCCATGAAAACCTTAGCACAATAGAGTTTTTTTATTATCATTATTAAAACTATGTTTGCTATTCCTCCCTATTTTATGCACAAGCTAGCTTCCCAGTTCTCACTGAATAATGACACACTGTTTGTGGTTCTGTGCGGATGTCCCTGGAGAAGATCTGGTGGGGCATTGTTAATAGTTCTAAAAATTAATCGAAAAAGAAAGAGTTGATTCACGGTTATAGTACTCATGGAGGCTCCAGGTTATCGGCTCGTGGTAACCTAGCCATCCTTCGGGATTTCTCCCCTTTCCGCCCTAAAGTCTGATGCTTAAGTTAATGAAAATGCCAATACCTTCTACTTGATAGATGTAATCATGAACTGAGCAGAGAAAATCCAAATCCATTCTAACTCATGAAAATTGCTTATATTCCTTTGATGCTCCTGCTGCTGAGTATCATTAATCGTTAAGGAAAATACCTTTCCCATTTGTCGATATCAACGAACTGCTGTCAATAATCATCGTTTTGGCTCTAAGTGCCAAAATGCCATAAAGGCCATTCTCTTGTTTTGTACACCGTAACTTGCAGTTGTTGGTGAGAGCAACTGTGTCGTAATTCGGAAACACTTGAGCCACAATATGTACGTTCTCGCGCACTTGTTGGGTGAAGGGAGATTCCACAGTAACATTGCAACTAGAATATAATGGAAATGTATAAGCTATAGAGGAAGTGATTCATCCCCAGATGTCGACGAGTGACGCGCACGACGGCGGGAGAAGTGATCAGAAGTGAGTGATACGGAGAGAGAGGAAAAGAAGATTCCTTGGCTTTTTGCCTTCCCATCCAATTCTGCGCGCCACTACGGAGAGGTGAGAGAAGACTGGAGACAAGTTAGGGCCTTGGCCATTTGGCGGTTGTTGCTGTTGCTCATGTTTTATTCCGGGGGGATTAGCTTTCGGGAGGCTAAATGATGCTCATTATGATAGTATTGAAGATCAAAATTCTGTACTTCCTAGCAATTTATAATTAAGCTCTCGTTATTATGTAGTGCAAGCCAGCTTTAGTCCGATGGGTTCCAATATTTTCATCATCATCATTAAAGCTGCTGAATATAATTTCTCTGGATCATTTCTGTGTTTGCCATTCTTTATACACACAAATGTTTCTTCAGCAACAATTTATATGCGCAGTTCCAGTTAGAAGAGGTCAGTTTTGGATGAAGAGGACAGCACATCAAAACGGTACGTAGTTACTACTATCACCGAAAGGCGTTTTTTCACACGGCGTGCAGATATGTGACGAAGTGTACCAAAAACAGTGAAACTGTCGTCGTATTGTTCTCCCAAGAAAGCCGCTGCTAATTGTGTGCAAGCCACTAAAATATCCGTTTACATACACGGTCCGGACAAATTTTCAAAAATTTTGATCTACTTCTGATCACGTAGAAAAAAAACATCCGTTTCTCCTCGCTCTTCGCCGCCGGGGACGTTTCGCGAGACGCGAGACGCGAGACGCGAAACGCGCGAAACGTCCCCAATGGCGAAGAGCGAGGAGAAACGGATGTTTTCGCAGGCTACTGATCACGTCAAAAATTCCCGCAATTTACTTTGCCGTTCAAAAACTTCGGAATGCAGAGTTAATGGCGGGTCCCGTATAGACGAAAGGCGGATCCGTGCAAGTTTTTGCCCGTTCCAAAATTTGTCCAGATCCGTGTAAACGGAGTCTAATACTTTCGTGAGACCAGGTTTTAAAGAATGGATCATGTAAGCGTGGCTATCCTTAGGGCTTTTGTTCTCAGCATGAACTGCACTTGGAATGCACCAGTTTTTTTTTTTCCGAAATTGGCTTAACACTGGTCTCTGCGACGCAGAAACTCGCCTATTATTGTGTGGATTACATGGAGAGTATTTGTGAAAATCTTTGTCCCGAAAACAAGGTGCACAATATAATAATGCTCCGTGGCGACTTATCCTATACGCTCAAGGGTAGCCCGGAATTCTCTAATATACCTACCCATTCATCTCTGTGACTCTCGTTATCTCGTATTTTCCAAAATCGTCAAGACTTCCTCTGGTAACAATGAACAACATTTCATATCCTGGTTTAATCATGCTTGCATCGCAGTTTGACAGTACTGCATTTTTGGGGCCATAGGAAGTCATGTCTACTGTCCACGAAAACATCGCCTTCTTGCATATATTCAGGTTAGTGGAGTTGCATTCCACTTGTGAATAAAATCAATAACACGTTAACCTTTTTAGTGATGACTTGAATGACTCGTGATACTGATAATAATTCATTGCTAAACTGAATCGAACCCATATAATCCTTAAATATCAATCATGGATAAATAATTATTCAAGGGTTCCACGCCGAAACAACTACTGCCAGGGTCTCGCGCGAGGCGGGTTTGAAAGTGGCGGGGATGACCTTTTTTGCAGCGAGGTTTGCGTTACTGAGTCAGTAATACTTACAGTTTTCGCAGTTTTTTCCAACAAGATTTTCGAACGGGCAAACGCAGTTGTAATCCTCTGTTTCGTAGATAGGGTGACAAGTTCCACCGTTTCTGCAAGGGCTAGACATGCACGGCGTCTATAGGAAATATTATTACGTCAGTGATGACAAACACATCTGCAAACAGCTGAAAACTAAAAATCACCGTGATCGCCAATTGATTTGTTTAGTTTCACATTGTTGAATATCGAATTTTCTGCCATTATGTATCTCTCGCTAAATTCTGCTTCTCAGGATAAAATTTTCGCACCCGCCCGGCCGTAGTCCTAGTAGAAAATGATTATGTTCGCTTCTCGAAAAATTAACTAATACATAGCCAAAAAATAGACAACTAAAATTTGAACCAGAGGCTTTTTGTTTGAAGCGGAGACATCGCCGGTAAGTACCCTTTTTGCTTAAATCATTCGTTTTTGTGTAGCGATGATCGCGTTTACACTGGTTTTTGAAGTGCTTTACAGAGAAAGGCTGATTAACGATATCGCACATTCGTCAAAGTTAATTACTTGATTGAATTGTTGCGCATGTGCAATGAAAGGCTAATCATGAAAAGACGCTTTTCGAGCACTACTAATCATTATTTGGAATGAAGATCTGTTATAATCATTTAATTATTTGTACTGAATTTTCATCCTTGATAAGCCAATTTGTGCTTGCAGCTCAGATACGAAAACTTCAGTAAAAGTCGGCTCAGCTCTAGTTACCATTTTCAGTTTAGTCAAAAACCACATCTGGCCTTAATTATTTGCAAGATCATATAAAGAATTTTCTGTATTTTATATTGTAAACTCGAAAATAGAATGAAAATTAAAAGGTAAAATTAGTTTTTATTCTTAACTAAAACATTTACAATAATACATGCATACAGCAATATGAAGGCATAAAGAGACGAAAAAAGGAAGGGAAAATATGTTGACTTCCTACTCGGATTAATTTGGAATTTTGTCCTATGTTTAGGTACGTAAGCTGTTTTACTCCACCTTTAAGAATGACAAAGAGGACTTAAAGTAGAAATCATTATCTTCGTAATATCACGTAATATTTACTAGGCATGAAATTTTACAGACGCGCAAACCAAGTTGACTGGAGAAAAACTTCGTAAAGTCGTTGATAACAGATCTAAGAGTTATCACTGTTTTGTTCATAACACTACTGTATAAACATTCAGCTTTAAAGTACAAGAGAGCAAAAGCAACTTACCTTAATATTATAATGATGAAAATCTCCGCCATAGGTTAGACTGTCTGGATTTTTAAACATGTCCGTGTTTATCAACTCACAAGTATGAGTGATGATGCTGCTATGAAACCCGTAATTAACCGACACACATTCGCGATTATTTATACACTCTAGCGTGCACTCGCTGATGGTTGAAACCTGCAACGTTTTTATGGAAGAAACGACCAGTTTTGTTTGAAGATTGCGTACGAATTGAGCGTAGCTTACTCGAGAATCTTTGTTGAAACTTTTGCTATGACAAGTGCTCTTAGTCACTGACAAGAATAAAGTAGGACCGTGGACAATCATGTAAAGAACTCTAATCCAAGGAACAGGTTCCATCTTTCCATCTTTCCGATAACCATTGTAAGTTAATTAACTGAAACACGCGGACAGCGCGGGGTGCCTAACATCATCAGAAGTTTACCTTTTTACTGATGGTAGCGAAAGAAAGGCAAAACATAAGAATAACAACAGAGGAAAAAAGCAAACTTAAAACACACTGAAACAAAAGAGTTATTGTTATTATTCATTAAAAAAAGAATGGTTTTAACAAGTTAAAATGAGAAAACAGGGGCACCCAACGACAATTTTCGGAAAAATGTCTGTTCGGAAGACAATTTGAGATCTAGAATTTTCGGAACATTTGTTGTAAAATTTATTGCTTGCCTGCCTCTCCTAGGATTTTCGAACATCTAAGAATTGGTATAATTGCCCATTTTTAACGGATTTTTACTCTTAAAAGGTCGCCTAGAATTTTCGGGAGCCTTTTTCCTGGCTGAAATTTTCGAACAGGTAAGTCTTGATCCCTATAATTTTCGGATCACTAGATTTTCAGCTAGGAAATCCGAACAGATGAAAAATTTATAGGGGATAAAAATATGCCCATATCCACCGTTTAAATACTAAAACACGTTTAACAATGCTATGTTTAAGTGGTTTTGAACTATATTCTCGTTGGGTGCCCCTGACAAAACAAGATGATGGAAGTTTCGTCTCAGGGAGTCATTCAGCAATTTTTACTCCCTTCTTCAACGAATAATGGTTTCTTCGTGCTGCATAAATACCCCGCTGAAGGGAGAATCCAAAATTTGCCATTTATTGTTTTATTAAAATGTTCACGAAAACTCCATATACGTGCTACTTGCTAAGCTACAGTTTTTTTCGAGTTTTTGGTACAAAACTGAAATCATTGAAAACGTTCTTGTTTTGTGACATTGAACCTCATAACATACATTCATCTCTCTTACTCTCATGCTTTCGACTTTGACTTGTTAGTACTGGCTTCGTTAATGAAACCAAAAAACTTATAAGGTTTCACACTGAAATTTCGGTAATTCTTTAATTGTTTGTGAGATCGGTAGACAACATTATCAAGTAATCATCAATTTTACTTAGGTCAACGTGCAACATCCACGCACTGTGCGATAATTTGTTGTACTGAAACTGCTGTTTTTAAGCATAGCGCATCTAGAGATCTCAGACATCAAAATGACCGCCATCTCGGATTTCTAGCACTCAGTTGAAAGTGCCATAATGACCTAGCCTGAAATTCATCCGATTGCTTCGAGTCATTTTCTCGTAATCGGATGAAATTTCAGGCTAATAATGACCGTAAATCTGTTTTAAAACAAACTGAAAGAGATACGCAAATGGAAACTATTTCCATTTATAGAGATTTTCATCAGGGACCTATAAAAACTTTCACTCGACCATGAAAGGCAAAGGATGAGTGAGTTTATCTCTTAAAAAGAACAAATGACGCTAACATATCGACTAGATAAATGACAGGAATATTCACTAAGGTTGGTTAATTTGGACAAAGGATTTTAATTTTATATTTAAGTCTTAAATGTTAAATTGTAATTTGTTTACCCACGAAGCACTTAGAAGTTCTTATGAACTTATTTTAAGGCGTCCGTGCGTTCCAGATTGAATTGAATGTGGGATTGTTGGTTTTAGAGGAGAGGGGGAAACCGGAGTTCCCGGAGGAAAACCTCTCGAGCAAGGGAGAGAACCAACACCAAACTCAACCCACATGTGACGTCGACACCGGGATTTGAACCCGGGCCTCATTGGTGGGAGGTGAGCGTTCTCACCACTGCGCCACCCTTTCTCCCATAACAAGTCAAACCACGATATCTAATCGTTTAGCTTTCTGAGTTCTATATAACTGTCTCCGTGAGATTTTCATCCATTCAATTGCTCATAAGATTTTTCAATCAGGCCAAACATACTTGGACAATATACTCAATTAAAAATACAAGCCACTGGTTATTATTCGTGGAAAAAGTAAGCTTTAAATCTGATAGCTAGAAAGTGGCAGCAACGAGTTACGGATTCAAAGTTAAAATAATCTCGTGTCTATCGGGTAAACGGCCCTTTGGCTTGGTTTATCTGCAATCGTTCCAAGTCTGGAAGGACCACTCTGTGGTGGTAAGCTCCATCTGAATGGCAGATATGATGCACTTTTGTTAGCTAAGACACTTGTGTTATCCAGACGTCAACAGAGAATCTTTAGTTTTCACCACCCATCGTCCGATGCCACCTCCTCCCCCTGAAATATCAAAAGATGAATGAATGAAACAAGCCGAGTGTTATAAAGGTGGTAAATGAAAAGCATCTTAACCCTTGAAACCCTAAAAGTGATTAAGATAAAAATTCTCCTTGTTATATCAATGCTTTATAAAACACGATGGTCATGAGAATGGAGGACATGATCACTTAATTGATATCTTAACAACTCCTTCCCACTACTTCTATAGGAAATGCATCTAAAAACAACAAATGGGAATGTAAATTTTGATATTAGGGTTCACAACTTGATCCTGTCTCCATTTACTATAGGGGCTGATGTGATCAATAGTAAAGTAAGAAGTTTAACTTTTTTTTTTCAAAATGGAACTTTTGACGTACCTCCACCAACACCCCATGCGCATTTAGTAGGAGAGCCTCCCCTTACAAGAATTTTGCCATTGGGGTTTCCCACAATGCTTTGGGTAATGATGACGACACTGCCCCCAGCACCACTTCCCCCAGGAGCTGATCTGTAAGATTTGGTACTGCGACAAACCGCCTTTACTCCTTTCAAAGGTGAAAATAACAATATAATATCATTATTTCTTCTTGGTTTTGATAACCGAGTAGAGTAACACGAATTTTGCTTGTAAGATCGAGAAGCAAGTGACGCACCTACACCAACCATTGGCCTGGCCAGTAAGTACCTCACACATGCGCAAAGCCACATCACCCGAGCAGTGGCATGTGTTGTATAGAGCTGGCGCTTAAAGGAGCTCTTTGCACTCCAAGGTTGCCACTGACTGGGTGGATATGGTTGTATCAAATAACATGTTCTTGGGCATCACCCATGAATTAAACCTGGGTATTCAGAACGCTTTAAATCTACCTCAGTTGGAGTTATTAATAAGCTCATAATAATTGATACTAAACACTTTTTCTACTGTATCTAATGAATTAACACAATTTTCACAGAACCCTCTGAAATAATTTTCTCCTTGTGGTAGGTAATGGAAGCCTGAGATTATAAGGCAACTATCCTCTATCTACACCAGATTTCTCTGGTTACGGGTCTAGAGAAATCCAGTGAACCTGCGTATTTATTTTTTTTATTGTACATTCCATTTGCTGAAGAAAATAACAGGGAAGTTAAATAATAGACATTCGTATATTTCATCTAATATACCTTCAGATTCAATTCTGCCATCTAGTGTCAAAGCGTCAAGAAGAAGATATACTAAACCCCCTCCGTCTCCACCGTCCCCCCCTCGATAAGGATCATCTGACAAGGCATTGCCACCCCCACCCCCTCCCCCACCACCGTAGCTGAGTCGCTTGGTAAAATCTGGGTTACCAAATTGCATTCCACCTAAATTAAAAAAAAGCAAAAAAGTATAACCTTTTAATTAACAAATTGAAATTGGTCAATTTTGATTAGGTTGTGATTATATTTTGAAAGAATATCCCGGACACCTCATGATTATAATAGAGGATAATACTCCTGGTAGGAACCATCTATTGGAAAAATTATTGACAGAGCTCGGCTCCTGGAGAAAAAAATTGTTGAGGATAAGATTTTTCATCGACCTGTATAGTGATTACCGTCTTCTAACCAACTTTTAAGAAGGGTTAGCACTTAAGGACTCAGTAGTGTAGTGGATGTGAATGTGGATTTTAAAATAATTGATGTCGTTTCAAAGCTTATTTTTCCTTCTTTTGATTATTTTTTAAGTTATAAGGTTTTTACGTATTTTTCAAACCAAGATGGTAACACCCAATTTCGTTTACCTCCTCCTCCCGCTCCACCCCATCCGCTACCACACGACGAGTCACCTGAAAAAAGAACGAAATTCAAGATAAGGGAATTACATTAGGTAATTCAAAGCGTGGGATTTGTTACACTTCATGTACCTGCAGCCCAAAAAGTGTCACTATTAAAACGAGGCCGAGTGCAAAGCCTTTCCTTTGAAAATGAGATCTATTTGCAAGAGAATAGGGTTTTGCACTTAGCTCGCTTTAAAACAGAGGCTTGCGGCTACTCGAAAAGTTGGCTGGTGAAGCTCATCTACCTCCAAAACAGGGTACGTATAAAAGCATTTTTAGGGAATGCAGCACAAGCAACGTTTGGCCTCATGAATATTTCTTTGCGAGGCGCACATATGATAAATGCTAATCCGGTAATGATAAAGATGATGACGACAAGATAAAGCCTAACGATAACATAACAGACAACAACCTCCTTCTCCTCCTCGTGACTGTGTGCCAGCTCTTCCGCTTATAGATCCACCGCAGGGACCGTTTGCTGGATACCCCTGTTGTCCTCCGTGGCCCCCTCTTGCCCCGGTACAGTCTGACACTCCCCCACCCCCAGCGTACACACCAATCTGCAAATACCAAGGAAAATGTTATGTAACTTTGCATTCTAACCAGCAAATATGACATTTTTTTTACAAGCAGAAGAACTCTTAAGAAATTCCAAGAAATAGTAATTTCTAGAGTCAGTGGAGCCGAGGGCGAGGGTGAAGTGTGCCCAACGGGTTTGAGCCAAATTGTTTGATTCAAATATACCACAAACCAGAAAAAGAGAATAAGGATTTGAGATTCGCCATTTGCGCATCTCCCATAAGACACCGTGTTTGTCCCTCAATACTTGTTTTTTTTTATTTCTCCTGGGTATTACAGTTGTCCCAAGAGAAAGGAAAGACAGTACTTGTGCACTTATTTTTGATTAATTATTTATTTTTTGGGTGGGTGTGGGGGAGGGGGGGGATAAGGTGTATTATGGGCGATGTGCAAATGGCCAATAAGGAAGATTCAGTATCGAACTTATCGAAATGTGAATGTGAGGGTTGTATGTTCAATTCTTTTCTGATACTTTTGGTTAAAACGTTAAGCATTTTTTAGATTCATAACTTACAGTGGTCGATGCAGTTCCCCCAACACCTCCGTCATTACCACAGCTATTGGCACCACCTCCACCACCACCGCCAGAAAAATGCCCCCCACCACCTCCTCCCCCGGATCCGTCGTCACCATTGTCAGTGTTGTCTGCCCCACCCCCTCCGGCGTTATATCCTCCAGGACCTCCATAAGCTACAATAAGTTTGCAAAACAAATGTCAGATTTTAACAAACATGATATCGTCCCAATACCGTTAATTACTGATTATGGATTATGATCATTGTTCCTGAAAAGCCCCTTTGGGGAGGTAACAATAAAGTACGTATGTATGTATGGACGGTGCGATGTTTTCTTTTTAAACAGATTTAAAGAATTATAGGTTAAACGAGGCAGTTTTTAAGACTTTTATACACTTTTATAGACTATTAAGTATAGCAATGCTTTATAAAACACTATGCATGGAGACGGTAACTAAGGACATGATGACACAAGTTGAATCTAACTGCTGCAAAGTCTCCCCACTACTTCTATAGCTATACAAATGTATTAGAACAAACGAAAGAGTTAAGAACAAGGTTCAGCTCCCACAGGATTGCTTTGGGAATTTAAGGGCCTGTTTACGTGGAGGTTGGAGACCACAGGTAGGTGAGGTAACCCGCCTGTCCATATAATCTCTCATTTTAATTTGATCACGTTTACATGATAGGTGGGTGTTACCTCACCTAACTGGGGTTCCCCATCGCCATATAAACAGCCCCTAACATGGCCTCCTTGTCATAATTTAGGGAAACCAATATGGCGCGGACCTGACGTCATATGAAAATCCTATATAATAAAACGTACAGGGACAACAAGTAAGAATCTGAATTTTGAGGCAGAGATTATTAAGCAAAAAGCTCAAGAAAGTAATCCACATTAATGAACTAATATCTTCCGAAAAACTGCTGTTCCAATTTTCTCTTTAGACAACAATAACCTTACTGTCTAATCATAACATTATTCTATGGAAATCTAACTTTTATTGCATTACTTACCATGACTTCCCCCAACAGCCCCACCCCCTCCATTTCCATTTGTGTTCAGTGTCCAGGCCTGCCCGGGTATATCTCCTCCTTTTCCATTGATTCCGGTGTCAAGATATAAGAATGATTCGCCTCCATATCCACCTCCACCACGATAATCGCCACCTTGCCCACCACGGAGACCTAACAATGACGGCATGTGCAGAGAACTTATGGTCAGTTGTTTCGACGAAGTTTATCAAGTGTTGAACTAAACGGTCGCGTCCTAAGCCATTTTTAGCTTACCCACTGACGCTTTTATATAAATCTTATTAAAACAAGTAGGTTGAGTATGATCGACCGTGTGAACGTAGTCCTGAATAGAATTGTTGTTGACAGTGACTAACGTTTCGATAACCAGCTGTGCAATAGTCATCTTTAGAGTCAAAGTGACTTGTATCACGCCAGTTGATGGTATTAAACTCTGGTTCATGACCTGATTGGTCAATTAAGTCGCGAGGCTATTGGTCATCTGTCAGTTAAGCCGTGCGGATGTTATTGGCCATGAAGACTACACATCGTTTATCGTAAACAGTTACCAGGGAAAATAAGTGGAAGTCCAATTTCTTAAACGCGGCGAGAAAATTAGTTTTCGTTTAACTATAACAGACCCTTAAAGCTAACTAACATGCGATAAAGCAAACTTTTCAACAAAAAAAACTGCAAAAATACCTTGCCCAGTTGTCCATATCTTAGAACTGCTATCAATAGTCATTGTGTTTGCTCTTAGTGCTAAGATGCCTCCATGTCCGTCAGCTTGTTCTCGACACTTAATAATGCAGTTGTTGGTTAGAGTAACCGTGTCGTAATTTGGTAATACTTGAGCAATAAGATGTACGTTTTCGCCCATTTGTTGTGTGAAGGGCACTTCCAAAACGACGTTACAACTGAAATAGAAAATGTTAGTCGCAAGTATCAAAGGTTTGCCTTGAGTAAAGGAGTCCTAAGGAGTTTGCATACGAGTCCAGTGGAGTAATACAATTGGCGCCGTTATAGTTTAATACATAAAGCTTAGTATGTGACATTAGACGTAGCTTAAATATTTCATGCTAAATAACGTGTGTTTTTTGCTTTGGTAGAACTAGTTGTAACAAATCTGTGTGGCCAAATTTCGTTACTAAGAGCAAAGAATGACCAAAAACAGTGCTTATAGACGCTCAAAGACATTTTATTCCCCTCTGCACTGTTACTCAATTTGCTGGTACTGATGTAAAACTTGCACCTCCTGACAACTTTGAATTGAGGGAGATCTAGGGGGAGAAGTTCTTGTTGTTGCGACAGAGCAACAAAAGCGATTTGTTAGCTGGAGTGTCTCAACCGTTTTCCAACAATTGCTAACTGCATGCGCATGCGCTCTGGCTCTGTATCCAGCCTAAACAAAAGATATTGAGGAGTCTGTTTCGTGATAATTGACTCCATTATTAAGAAAGCTAAAAAGCGCTTGTATAGCTTATCTCAACTTAAACGCTCTGGTCTTGGTACCCGTGAGTTAGTCCAGTTTTTCTGCACTTGTATTCGTCCGATCATAGAGAACGCGTGTCCTGTCTTTCATGACGGCCTCCGCGTGTACCTCTCCAACGAACTTGAAGGAGTACAAAAGCGGGCTATGCGCATCATTTTTCCTCTTTGCTCGTTCAATGAGGCCTTGGTTGAATCAGGCCTAACTAAACTTTGAGACCGCCGCCAGGAACTAGTTGATAAACTATTTAAGAATGTTTTACAGAACGAACAGAGCAAGCTCCACGAACTTCTTCCTGCTCGCAACACATGTACCTTTAACCTAAGAAATATGCGGAAGTTTAAGCCAGCTTTTAAGACGAACAGGTTTCGTAGTAGTTTTATTACCTTTAACGCCCTTAAGGCTTGAACGGTTGTAGTAGATTTTTAAACCTCTTCTATATATTTTTTTAGAACATATATATAGTGTCCTTATTTGCTGTTATAAATCACTTGTAGTCTTTTTAATGTAATTATCACTATTCAATTTTTTGTAAATAATCGTATAATTCAACTTTTAGTTGCAAATCGGTAATTAATAAACTATCTATCTATCTATCTATCTATCTATCTATCTATCTATCTATCTATCTATCGATACCACTGCACATTTTTTTAAACACATGTACAAGGCGAGCAATTATAATTACCTACCCATCAACGTCTGCGATCCTCATTATCTCGTATTTGCCATAGTGGTCTAGAATCCCTCTGGTCACAATGAACAGCAGCTCATACCCTGGTAAAATCTTGCTTGCATCGCAGTTTGACAGCACTGCATTTTGTATTCCTGCAGATGTCACCGTCCACGAAGACATCGCTTTTTGGCAAATGTCCAGGGATTCAGCGTTGCATATCACTTGTAAATTGAAAATAATTTCATTGCATGTCAATGCATGTTAATCACTCTATTCAAAGCTTACGTTGCTGATATGCATGGATATGTTGATTTTGTTCATAAACAACCTAATTGTCTGCATTCAAGGATTTAATAATGATGCATTAAGTAATATTTAAGGCACACACCCGCCCTTACAGTACCAGGGACAGTATGTTGGAGAATGATAAAAGTTTTAACAATGGGACTTGGAGGACAAATACCCTATCAATACGTTGAGGCTTTTTAAGTGACGTCATGACGTAATATGACCTTATATGACTCAGAAATTACGTCACGGCTTCAAATGGCGGCCATCTTAGATGATTCGCCATTTTGGATTTTCATCTGCGAAAATGAGTCATTTAAATCAAAATTGAATCGAACGATGTTAAGCGATTTTAAGTTTTAATTTCCATCTCGCTGTCTCGGTAAGCTTAAAGCTCTTCCGTCCTCTCGGAGCAACTTTGTTGTATTTTTTCTAACCAGTTTTTATTACTTTACGTACAGTTTTGGCAGTTTTTTCCACTTAGGTTGCTGAGTGGGCAAACGCAGTTATAGTCCTCCGTTTCGTAGATTGGATGACACGTACCACCGTTCCTGCAGGGGTTGGACATGCACGGTGTCTGGAGACAGAAATAACAGTTACGTTGAGAAATAGACTTCTAATGGACTCTAACTGAATTTATAAGATCACAAAACACAGCTAGTATAAGAATCCAGTAATAAATAGTTTAAGCATTAGGTATTTATTTAATCTAACTTCCTGTATTTTAATTTTTAGACACGTAGAACCCTTTTTTTGTTTTTTTTAATTTTTATTTCATGTCATTCTATTTGGTTAAATATTTCACTGAAAAGCCCTGTGGGGAAGTGAAATAAATGTATGTATATATGTAATGCCTAAAACTTGTGGTCACAAGTGCCATGACTAGAGTAAAATCTATAGAGTTTATAAGAAGGGGTCCTTTCAACATATAATATTATTATTACTGCAATCAAAATTAATCATGATATTGAATATTGCGCAATTATTGCACGGGTTGAGCTACATATGGTTCATCGCAAATTGTAGCTTAAGACCCCATTTCTCTCCTCGCTTCCCAAAACATTGGCAAATGCTGGGTTACCGTCAGGCTGTCTAACCTAAATTACGTTAGATTTTTGTAATTAACAAGTCGCTTACATGAAGTCTGCGAAGCAACGTTTTTGTTCTGTTTTTGCTACGAAGTGGTCCTTAAAGGGTGCTATGCTAATGTCGTACAGGAATGTTTTCTTGATGGTGTGATGCACTTGAATAAGCACATAGTACTGAATGTTTGGTAGGACCTTGAAAGCAGTATTTGCAAAAAAAAACTTGATTTACGTTAAATGATTTTACGTTTTCAGAAAAATAAACAACAATTAACAACAACATCAACAGCTAAAACAGTCAGCGTGATCACCTTTTGATTCTCTTATTTTCACTCAGTTAATAAATAATGCCTCTAACTAAAAATTTTAATAACAATGTCCTTATGACTAATATTACAGAATAGAATCTTAAATAACAGCCACTCAAGTTTAAATGGTGATTTATTCTTTTTATGGTATCGAAAAAAGGAACGTTTGATCAGAACAGGCTTCATCTCTTGGAGCCAATATGTACTTTATTCCAGTATAACATTATTTTGTTGTGTAATAGCAAAAATTAAACGTTAAAGCTATTTTTGTAGAGTTTTTCAGCAAGGGAAACTTGCTGTGGGGTATTGACGATGTTATGTTGTCGTCGAAACGTTATTAATTATCTTTACCTTATTCGATTCCTTTGAGCCATAAAACGCAAACTGTTACAGTTACCTGGCTATACAAACCGGACCGTTTGAAGCCAAGATTCGTTTCAATTTTTGGCGTGATGGTTTTACTGCTTAAGCCTTGACATCAGTTAATAATGAGCAGATGCAAAGCTAAGTGACTTACCTTAATATTATAATGGTCAAAATCCTCACTGACTGAAAGCTTGTCTGGTTGCTGAAACATATCCGTGTTTATTAACTCACACGCATACTTCGTTCCGTCTTTCTTACCGAAATTGACCGATACACATTCTTGATGGTTTAGACATTCCAGAGAGCACTCGCTGATGGTTGAAACCTGCGACGTTGTTATGGAAGAAACGACCAGTTTTTTTTGCGGATTATTTACAAACATAGCATAGCTTACCCAAACGTTTCTCTGCAAATTTTTGCTATAGTTATAAGCCATCGGCAAGAGTAGAACGCTCATAAACAAATAGAAAGATGTAATCAAGTGAACAAATTTCATGTTTCTGCTTGTTCGCAGTGGACCAGTGTATACACTGCTTCTTGAGATGATTAATTTACTTAAACACGGGCTGTAAGGGATGGTTAACGTCAAAGCATGTTAATAATTCATTGGTTCTTTTTCCAAAATTCAATGTCTCGAAATTGTGGCTGCATGTTTATTTACCTTTTCAAAAATAATTGTACTAATAAAACCAGCATAAAAAAATAATTGGAGGGGTCCCCAGACAGAAACGCAAATGTACCAGATATTAGAAAAAAAAAGAATGACTACGTTGAACAAAATCTTACAAAAGCAAGCTACTTACCTGAAAAGGCAACGTTTAACGACCTTGCATCAAATAAGATTTCTAAGAAGGAGGTAACTCCAAAGAAAAAAATAATTAGATTAAAACAAAAATTTATGTGGAAATTGTAAAAGTCACTGTGTTTTGTGGCAACAGAGAAAAAACATAAAAAATAATAAAATCTCTCAAAAGCATTTGACACAGTGAATCATAGTATCCTCTTACACAAACTTGAACACACTGGTTTAAGAGGAGTTGTACTAGAATGGTTTAATAACTATTTATCAAAAATAGTTATTAGTAAAATATAAGACGTCCATTTCAAACAAAATGACTGTAAAATGTGGAGTACCACAAGGCTCTGTCTTAGGACCTCTTTTATTTTTAATCCATGTAAATGATATCACAAGTTCCTCTCAGATACTGTCCTTATATTATCTGCAGATGATACTAATCTATTTTTGAGTGATTAAGACATAGGTAATCTTTATAAAACTATGAACCAAGAACTTAAACAAGTCAATTTATGGTTAACTACAAATACGTTATCCTTAACGCTAATATGACACAATTCATGATCTTTAAATCTAAAAAAAAGGAAATTGTCTCTTGGTGAAAAAGTGATTCTAAATGATCATCCAGTCAAGAAGTGAACTACACAAAATTTTTAGGGTTATACTTTGACGAAAACCTCTCTTGGAAATATCATATTAGCCATGTCACAATGAAAATGTCAAAAATGACAGGCATATTGGCCAAGACTAGACCTTATTTACCTCTCAAATTAACGCTTCAACTGTTATACGTGACGATGATCTACCCATATGTAAATGAATGTTACTTCACTGAAGTGATTCCCCTTAATAACAACAACAACAACAATAACGAGCTTTATTTGCATGACCATACAAGCACATACAGTAATGCAAAAGCTATGTTTAGGAATCAAAACAACACGGGGCAATTACGTTACTTTGATAATAATTTGTCACAGGCATCAAAACAAGCTGAAATATATTTCATGAATTGTATATTTATAAAGTAGTTAGAAGAGTTCATCAGTTCATTGATCAAAACGTTTATAGGTAACTGGGTAATATTTGGAATCAGAGTCTTGACTTTATAGTAAAATTTGTTGCTAATCATAGAGTATGTAGGACATTGAAAAAGAAAGTGAACTTCGTTTTCTATTATATTACATCCACAAAAAGGGCAATGCCTATTATCCTTTGTAGTTTGATTGTATCTGCCTATTTCTATCATTAGTTTGTGATTGCTTATTCGTAATTTTACTAGAGCCCTTCTCCCAGCTTTTCGTCTTGTTACGTCTAAGTAACTAGAGGAGGTATGATCGGTTTTAAAAGATCTATAAAATTCAAGTTTTTTAGAATGTTGAAGGGTGTTTTGGCAATATAAGACATATTCCTGTTTCATTGAACTTACATAGCTTTTTACCATATCTATATCTAATAAATCAGGTTTAAAGTCAGGAAGTTTAAAGTATTCTGACATATTCATTAAATGAAAGTGAAAGCTATTTTTGGTATTACAGTGTAAGTCGAATGATATTAAAAAAGCTTGTTTGACGAGAGATTCCTCATCTCCAGACTGTATATACAAAATTCAGCGAATTTTTTGATTGATAGTGATATTTAAAGGAAAACGACCAAGCTCTGCTCTACAAGCTATATTAGAAGCTTTGTTGTTTACCTCCAAGTATCGTTTACAAGTTCCAAGCAAATTTGATTGTTCCCCCCCTGAATCCTTCCAAACTTTTCAGTGATCCTCCCTTTTGGGTTCTCAGTTACGACTGATCCCCCCTTTTGTTCTCCTAAAAATCAAGTGATCTCCCCCACAATCCTCAACCCCCCCTCACCCCAGGCGATAAATGATGACCGGTCCCTAACGCTGGATGTAATGCATGGGAGACATATTTGTTGTCGCTACATAAAGATGTGTTTCGTCGCTTACGTTAAGTTCCATTGCATTTAATTATGCAAACTATACACCGAGCTAGCTCTGGTATAGGTTAAGGGTTCCAGGGTCCAAGCGGCGCATCCGCACCCAGAAATTCCTAAAGTATCCCCCCGGGACTATACACGACAGATGTGCCTACGTAAGCCACTTAAAACATGAGACGTATTTGCCATCTTCCCCGATTCCATAAAATGCCTTTGAATGAGTGCAAAAATCGTCTCCAAAACTGCCAAGATATGTAAAGTATTTTTTTAACCGTACCACTGCCAATATATGATTACCAATGCAAAAACAGAAAAATTGTCATTCCCCTTTCCTTATTTTATGCATTGAGCACTTCTAGGATAGGTGGAAACAAATTTAATTGTGTCTGTACCGCAGGATTTGAGTAAGCGCCATGATTGGCCTGTTGTACAATCCATTGTCCGATTGGCCAATCAGGTTGGAGGGAAATTAGAAAAGCACTTACGGGAATTCGTTGAGTCAGTTGGGGGTTAAGAACAAGGGCCTCAGCGCTGCTTTGCAACGTTACTATTCGAGGTTAGATAAAGTCGACGGTGCAGGCTACTGGCAGAATTTGTTAATCAGTTTATGTCTTTACGACAAATGTAACGACTCGTATGACTGGAACACGTGTCGTCATCCCAGCCGAAATTCCAGTTCAATACGAATATACCACAGTCTTGATTAGATTGCAAATCATCTGGCTGGCCTTCAATCCAGTTTGTATATGTCACATCAGAGCCGTCCACCCACTCGAAAGATACTTCGTTTGCTCTGTCAGTGAAGCCAATCCAAAATTCATTGGTATCAGAGGATCGAACTTGACCAAGGATAAAGTCACTCTCCGCGGCGCTATGTATTGACGTAAGGTTGCTATTCAAGCTTTCACAAACCTGCTGTGCATCATTCCAAGTTACTGCTGTCATGAATTCTTTAAAACATGAATTGTTGAAGCACAGCCATCCTGTTGGGCTCAGAGCTAAAACACAAGTGGTTACAAAAACAATAACGATAGGTAATGAAAAGAATTGCTTGCGGAAAATCTTTAAAAAATTCACCAACATTACCGAAGATCATGCAGCGTACCATAATTTATTTACACAGCTAAATGGTACCTTTAAAAATTTCCCTTACTGATTAAACTACTTTAGATGGACAAAATAATTGACCTACATTCTGCTGTGTCGAGGCGTATATAAAAATGGTATAGGGTCCCGGTCAATTTTTGATAGTTAACGTGCCTCTGAACAATAACAAGGTGCCGCACCGAATATAATTGAGTGATGTGAAATGGGGCAATAAAAACTCGGTTTTCAATTTATTGGCATTTAAGCTAAAATTAGGGGTTGCCTTTGAAAAATTCCTTGAAATTTTCCGGATAAAGACACGATTAAACTTTACTGCCAATATTTTAGGTCAAAATTTTAAACCCCAAATCTAAATATTAGTGCAAGAATGAGTTGATCTATATCAGAGATTTTGATCATGAAGCCGTTCCAAAAACTCGCAGTCGTTTATTATCAGGTTTAAAAACTCGAGACGAAGCCGAAAGTTTTTTTAAAACTGATAACACACTTAATAATATACAATAACTTGAATAATAATAATATACAATATTTATAGAGCGCTAATTCCCAGTGGTCCAAAAGCGGATTTTTATTATTTTTACATAATAAAAATTACAACAAAATCCTAAACCTACAAAACTACAAAACTACATTGTCATTCTATAAAAACATCATCATTCTATACGACAACATCATAACCAATTTTAAAAAGCCAAGTCTTGAGCTTAGATTTAAAAGAAGAAAGGGAATTACAAGATCTAAGTTCGAACGGAAGTGCATTCCAAACAGAAGGTGCAGCAATAGTAAAAGACCGGCCACCATAAGTTTTAAGATTAAATTTAGATGTAGAAAGTAAAAATTGATTATAGGATCTAAGAAGTCTACCAGGTGTATAAGGCTTGATGAGATCAATGATATAGCTAGGCGCAGCACCATGAAGTGCCTTAAATGTAATTACTGCGATTTTGAAAATTATCCTTTGTTCAATTGGTAGCCAATGAAGTTGAATAAGCAACGGCGTAACATGCTCATATTCACTAGTAAGGTGAATAAGCCTAGCAGCACTATTTAGGACCCTCTGTAAACGTTTCAAGATACATTTAGGCTGACCGTAGAGCAATGAGTTACAAAAGTCGATCCTTGCAGTAACAAAGGCATGAATTAGAGTTTTGTTTTTACTAGTCTAGTTCACTTCTGCTCTTTTCTTAAACAGCACATAACTTATTGACAACAATCTGATTCATAATTTATGGCCCGGGGTTTCAAGTTTTAGTAGGTACCATTACTGACTGGCACTACTGTAGCATCAACTACAAAAGAAATTGAAGCGATCGATCGACCCTCAAGAATACACCGTAATTTTTAGGGAGTTATTATCACTCCAAAAATGGAGTAAAAATTTTAGGTACAGGATAACCCCATTTTTGGGGTTATTTTAACTCCTAATTTAACTACGAATTTGGGGTCATTTTTACTCCTGAAAAAGAGTTCTTTTTACTCCCAGTCTGGAGTTAAAATTACTCCGAAATGGGGTTACTTGTACTCCTTACATGGGTTGTTTTTACTCTTTTTGGAGTTAATTTAACTCTGAAAGTGGAGTAAAAATTTTAGGTACAGGATAACTCCTTTTTTGGGGTTATTTTAACTCCTCAATATCTGGGGTCACTTTTACTCCTGAAAAAGAGTTCTTTAAACTCCTTTTTGGAGTTAAAATAACTCCACTGTCAGGAGTTAAATTAGCCCCACTAGAGGAGTTATTATAACTCCCTGAAAATTACAGTGTAATTGCTGAAATCTGCTGAAAAATATTATGAAGCGATCTGAGATTATCTATACCACTTCCGATAACTTTATCGCCTTTTTGATAAAGAATGTTTTAAAACAGTGAACTAGACTAGGAAAAACAAATCATGCCTACCGATTTCACAATATTTTCCTTGAAAACACGGATGACAGGAGCAGTTAAATCTTTCTCTCGTGACGTCACATGTCTCACGACGCGTGCCACCATTAAGACATGGGAAAATGTGGCTTGCACAACATCCGTCTGCACAATAATTTGGGTGGACAATGGCCTACAATAAACCAAAATAATAGCAAAAGTGAGAATGAATGCCACATTTGTTCATCTGCATTGCATACTGACAATACATGTAAATTTTGCCTTTGCAAGGAAATATCTGCCAACATCTTTCCATAATCTTAGTTTTTCTTGACTTTTGGCTTTTTGTTGTAAAACAAGTACAGTCCAAGCTGAGGGATTGGAGATGGCAGCAATTTGAAGTCACAGCGTAATTCCCTCGACATAATTATGACATCATTTGGTCATACTTACTACCATCTCGATGGGCACCACCCATGCAAGGGTTTGATGGAGAGGTAGAACATCACTTTAAACTGAAATAAAAAGGTCGATTTGGCTGTGCGATTGTAATGTATTCGACAAAAACAAAAAAAGACATTCCTTGCAAAAGTTTATTATGAAAGTGTAAAAACCCCTCTTCTCGTTAAAAAACGGGTAAAAGGCAAGCTTTAAATTAAACTGGCGGGGGAAAGTTGTTAGGTGGTAATTTTAAATTATCGTTCGTTTGCTGTAACTCCGTACACTGATTCCTAATCTCTCTTACATCTTTGCCTAGACGACCTTAAAGGGATTCAGTGTAAAGAGTATCTAGGACTAGTTACTTATTATCTCAGTAATTACCTACCTGATCCATGTTGTAATTGACTACTAGATCGTAGTACCGAGAGCCTTCGATTAGCTTCAACCCACTGGAATTTGTATTCATGTTTTCGTTATTCAATTTACAGTTTTCCTGACTCGTATTTGTCAAGTAGTTGACGAGATGCAGCGGCAATCACTTTGACATTTCTCGAAGCAACATAATGGATCTGCTACCGTGACGCTTTCAATCACGTGACCAACAAGGACGTGATTTTCAACCAAATATTTTCTAACATCAAAGCTGAAACTGCCTTCTAGGCATTTGTTATCTGCTCACCAAGGCAATGATGGTACCGTATAATGGAGGAAAAGTAGCCTAAAAAGGCCAGCCGAAGTAGAAACACTTCTTCCGAGTGGTGGGCATAGAGCATTCATGATGTTATATTTGTCCTAGTCATAAAAAGTTTTAACATGTATAGTCAATATAAAACATAGTCATGACACGATTGTATGAGACCAACCATTCATAGGTATGAAAAGACAAACTGAGGAGACACGAGTCGAATCACACTTAGACTAACATGGGGGACGCGAGTGATCGGTGACGACGGCGCTTCTCGTCGTTTCCGTAGCCTCCTCCTCTCGCCGCTTGCTCCCGCGCCCCAACCAAACATTAAAACCAAACACCGCTAGCCACGCGAGACTACACTTAGACTTCCCTTACATGAAGAACAGACGTCTAGAACAAGGAAGTATAATCAGACCTTGATACCAGGGGTGCTTACCATTTACAAACACCAGCCGGGTGGAAATCTTTTGCATACAAATAAAACTTTAAAATTTAAGGTGGTGAGAGATCAACCCGATACAAAGTATATCCAAGAAAGCTCAACAGACTAAAACGAATGGAAAAATGCATCGCCACAACTCACAGCCATATTTTCTGAAGCTTTCCTAACGGAATGGTGAGCACCAGGGCGGCTCGGTTGCTGAAATAAGAAACACCTCTCCTAATTGGTCGCAGGAAACAATGAAATGTCATTCTTTCTTTTGTTTTAGTATTGTCTGGAGTCAGGGTAAGGCACCATTGGTGACTTCTCTTCCGAGCAGCTGCCACATGTACATGACCCACCACCGCTTTTGAATTTCGAAGCGGAATGTCTAATTTTCCCATGCCGTAGAGCAGAGAATATTTTACAAGAAATTCCCTGTATTTAATTAGATTGAAATCTTTGAATGATTAAAACTTGTTCGAAGACATTTACATCAAATTCAGGGAAACTGAGCAGGTAGAAATTTCATAACTGCCTCGCCTGTGAATTCACGGCTCATTACGCATGCAAGAATGCAGAGATGAATCTGAAATCTACAACTACGACCTGGCTCGTCCGTAAAAAAGAAATCTTGAATATTCAATTGTCTCTGGAGGGGAGGAGAAAAGAGTTCTCTATTTTCTGCTTTTCCCTTAGTGCACAACCTACTAAATAAAACGTCCCAGTTCTATACAACTCAGTTCATGCCTAATTTTCGCGAGATAAGATGATTTCATAGCATGATTAGAGCATGTTAACTTATGAACGATCCTGTGTTAAGTTAATGTATAATTTATAGCTATATTGACTAAGCACTAAGTAAAATCGCTCTAACTATCCCTGATGTTCCCTAAAATTTTTATTTTTTTATTTTATCTTTTTTTGTTTTTATTGTTTTTTTTTAGTTTACGGGCCCGCTGTAATTGGCCACAGCTGTTGCGGTGTCCCTGCCAACGTTCTTTCTGTTTGTTTGTTTGTTTTTTGGCGAAGCTAATAAAATAAAAAAGAATAAAATAATGTCGATAGTTTTAGCTCGATACTAGTACCTTTAGTTTTCATACCTGCTATATTATCTGCCTCGGAAATGAATCATTTTTGCCGACCTATTGAGGTTGAATTGCTTTGTTAAGTAAGGAGTGAGCCTCCAACAGCATTCTGTCTGTTTGAAAAACATGTTGTTATGGTTACCGTAAATAGATTTGCGCAGTTCTAAATTGAATCTAGGAAACCAACGCGACTGTGAGAGAACAGTGGGTGGTGTTTTAATATTTATTTTCATAAGGAATTGTTATCATCTTCAATTCTTTCAGTACTGTAGAGTTTAATGTAGTTAAAGAAAGTACGGTCCTAAAGATATTCATTTTTCGTTCAACTGCATAGGAACTGTCAGTAGTACAATGCCTGATTTTAGCAATGGTTGTGAACCTGAGAATGGGACTTCTAAATGAGGTTGGACACCTCATGATCATTACATGATTCCCCGACCATTCATTAGGAACATTTATTGAGGAAACGTAAGAGAACCAGAAAGCACCAGTTACGTTGTGCAAGGAACAGTGGAGTTGAGTACAGAAAAACCTGCGTTAGTTATTATCCTCTACAGGAAAATATTTTTTGCATTGTAACATACGGTTCTCTGATCAAGCAATTAAAGGGGATATTATAACATCTCTGAATATGCCTGAATCTTAATCTCGGGGACGGCGCAGAGCGAAGGCATGAGGTGTATCATGAGACGTATTGCAGGTTAGGGTGGCTCGACCCGCTTTTCCAAAACAATTTCCATTCCCTTTTAACACGAAGGGCGACGATGTCTCAAACACTACGCAGGAAATCGAATTGCACTCATTGCACCTATTTTCTACGGCATGTATTTGAATAGTCCTTAAACGCCAGTTTTTCGCGAGATTGACTACTCCATGGCAACAGGGTGACGCCATTGCTATTTTAACATTTCCTTGTCAATTCGTAAAATATCCGGAAATTCGTTTTTAGTTAAAGCTAGTTTATAACACTTGAAGCTACAGCTCGAGTAACTGTTTGAGCCGGAGCTGTACCGATTTTTTGGCGGGGAAGCGTTTTCGAGAAATCTCTGGTTGCATTTTTTGGTTACTTATAACGAAACAATTCATATGGCTTGCAAAGCTTTTTGCTATTAACAAGTTAGTAAACATTTAGACAAATATGACTCTTTCCTAGGAGTTAACTTTGTCATCAAAATGTTTTCGAAGTTTCCGGCTGCATGGGTTGACCCAGTTTTGAGTAAAAAGTAGGTCATCTTTCTTGTAGTTAAGGTTTTATCAGCTAGCCTTTTTGATCGAGTCTCTCTCAGCTAATTCTTATAGTGTTTAATGTCAAAAGGTTGAGTTTGATCGTCCGGGTGAACGTAGTCCTGAATAGGGCTGTTGTTGTTGACAGTGACTGACGTTTCGACAACCTGTGCGGTAGTCATCTTCAGAGTCAAAGCGAGTTGTATCACGTCAGTTGATGGTATTATACTCTGGTTATTGATCTGATTGGTCAATTATGTCGCGATGTTATTGGTCGTCTGTCAGTTAAGCCGTGATGTTATCGGCTATGAAGACTCGTAATCAGTGATTGGTGCGTTTCGATCCGTCTATTGTCACAGTCAAACAGTCGTCTATTGTTAGTCAAATTGTCAGTTCTCAGTTGTTCTCTCGTAGTTAGTTTTGCTTGATCTCGTCAATAAGTCGTTTGTACGGGGCTGGTAACTGTTGCCTACGATTCAGTGGCGTTTGTTCTAAGTTAGTAAACCAGCTTTCTAATGTAAGACGTTGATAGTAGTCTGTAGAATACGTTATACATGTCGCAGAGTCCCAGTCAATTTGATGTTTCGTCTTTAAATGGTGCTCAGCAATGTGATTGTTGACGTCACCATTCCTCGCAAACGCGCGATGAGGAATGGTGACGTCAACAATCACATTGCTGAGCACCATTTAAATAACCTTTTTTTTTTTACCAGAGACCCAGTTCGGTTTCTTATGAAATAAGATAGGAAGTATGAAAAAAGTATTCCATGCAATTGCCAACTTTTACTGGCCATTTATTTCGTTATTCTTCTTTGTGATTTCGCTTAACAACTACAAAATTTTAATTCTTAGTAATCCAAAAATCTATTTTTTTTCTTGATCGAAGCTACAGCGAGATTCTCCTTCCCGGATCTCCTTGAGACTTGATACAGGACTGACTGCAGTAACAAATGTTATAGGTTAAGTGTCCAGCTATTCTCACAGCTCTGTAGTATATGTTTGACCAATCGTAACAATCTCTTCTGGGGTTGGACCACCAGTTGCCTTTGCGCACCTGTTCGCACGCCTTCCTCATATCGTGTTTGAACGCATCGTCGCAAAATTTGCGACTCCAGTTGTGATGCCTTCCCCCTCCCTAAAAGATGCAAAATAACAATTACGATAGTTACGATATATGCTATATTTTCAGTCTTTCCTTTTAAATCTCTTCATTAGTTCCTAATCAGTCTGAGATCTCAAAGTGATAGTTGCGGACGAGTTCAGTTTCCAAGATTAGCAGTAACGTCTTGTTCTTCCTCAATATCTACCTGCACTGAAGCGGATCTCCTTTAGCTATCAATAAATAAATATTTCTGTGTTGGTTTTCAAGTACTTTGACAAAAACTCTTATTAAGTTTTCTTCCAAGCTGTAACTCCGCAAAAAAAATAAAATAATTGTTAGCAGATTGTGTCTTCAGTCAAGTAAAATGAAAACAAAAACGTTTACTATTAACACTTAGTACGTATTAACAAGCCAAGTTGTACCCTGGAGTCTGTTAACTTAGGCTGAAGAGTTTGAAAGCCAAAATACAGTTAAATAAACAAATGCCGGCTTACACAAATGTAGCACATATCATGCTTGTTGCAAGATGAAGTGAATGTATTTTTCCATCTGCCTATTCCCAAGTTGCTACAACCATTTGGCGCGTCTATTCCACAATAGCCATTGTCAGTCACCTTGTACCTCAACGGGCCGATCCCGAACCTGAACTGAGTCGGAAGTTCGCGACACTTTGGAAATAAAAAAAGTCGCTCGTCTGTAAACTACTAAAAGAAGAAGTGCACCTTTTATATTTTTTTATGTAGATGTGAGCTAACTTTATCTATAACGAGACATGCACGATACAAATCTACTCCTGCTCTTTACGGAGAGATACAATCAACGAATGATTTCTCGTTGCGGAGAAGACACTCTGGAAACGCGAATTATTATTCTTTCAATTCAAGGTTAGATTCTTTCGAATTCGGGCATCTTTTAAAATCACTCTTTCATTGCAGCGAAA